TCGTAACATTTTTATAATTGTAACGAGTAACGATGCAGCACATAAAAAAGCATTAAACCCATCGAAAATATGTACTGAAGTAAAAGTGGAAGTAGGAGAAAAAAACAATACTCCAGTAGAGTACAGATACGGCCTTTTAGTACTTAAGTACAGTAGTGAAGTAGTTCTACTTCGTTACTATACATCTCTGGTTAAGCAGCAGTAATTGTTATCTAAAGTTGCCAAGTCTCATAATTACAAGTTGGCTGTTCACAACAGGTTCTCAGTTTTACATAAATTTGGCAATTTAGTGTAACTGATGTATGTTAGGATGACGTGAATACTGCTTATACACCTGACAGTAAATGTGTTATACAGTTAGGCTTAATAGTGTCTTCTCTTGTTCAGGATCTCCTACCACGTCTCGTGTGATTGAGGCCGACATCTCCGAGGGCTCCCCCCCCCCACTGTCTGCATACATAAACGTCATCTGTGCTCTTCTCTTAACCGTCGTGGTGCTTGTTATACTGCTCCTGTTCTGGCTGTACTTCACACGCAGGAGGAGTCTAGGTAAGGGGTCTGTGTTGAGGTCACATGACCGTAAGCCTCACCGGGTATCTGTTCAGTTCCGTATATTTTAAAATGCACTTCTCAGTGTAGCTGCTGAACTGAAGCTTTATTTACCATTTGCCAAGTGCCGTACAGGTACAGCCGGCCCTTCGCATCCAGGGAGACTGGTCTCAGGGACCCCCAGTGGATACCACAATCTGCAGATGCTCAAGCCCCTTATATAAAACGCAGTAGAATTTGCATATAACCAACACACATCCTCCCATATACTGAAAATCACCTCTAGATAAGGAGCAGGCGCTGATTACAGCGCGATGCCGCACCCACCACCTGACAAAACCACCTCAGGGACGAGAGCCTGAGTGCAGCCGTGTGGCAGGTGATACCCCAGCACCGCGCCAGTCCGAATGGACCAGTGTGGCTGGAGAGCCAATCCTGCCACCAACCCCCAAATTTTAACATCACACCCAGGGCAAAGCAATCGCAGGTTAAGGGCCTGGCTTTCCTGAAGGACCCAACAGAGAAGAATCACAGGATTGAAACCAACAACCTTCCGATTGCCGGAACAGATCCCTAGCCTCAGAGTCAACACTCCACCCACCTCTAGGCTACTTAATAATACTCAATACAATGGAATTGCTATATAAGTAGTTGTTATGCTGTATTGGTTAGGGAATAATGACAAGAGATAAAGCGGAGGAGAGAAACTAAAATCCCCCATAATGTACATACACACTTTAATACACCTACCAGTATGATATCACATACACACATCTACTAAAGCAAAGTGCAGTATCGTAAGTATTGGCATTGACTTAGAAGTGGGTCATGTGTATCTGTACACTGACAATCCCTTCAAAACCACTGACATACTTTAGCAAGGCGTCAGTCCAGACCACGAATAGCTGCCGTACAGCTAAATGTTTCCACCTGCTCAGTCACTTTCTGGCTCATCCTATCCTCGATTAACTTTTCCTGCTAACACGACCTCCATATCATTTCCATAATCGAATAGCACGCAGATAAAGTGCGGGGATTAAATACTTAAGTGCAGCCCGGCAGGACGAAAACGTGCTTATGTTGCAATATCGACGCCCACTCTCTGTCTCTGTGGGCTGCTTTACACTGGTGTCAGTGGGAGGATTTAATGACCCCCCCCCTCGTCAGCCATGAGCCAGCTAAGCAAGTTTTGTGGAGAAAGATCCGAGGCTCTCGGCCTGAGAAGCGCAGTCCTGTCCTTGGGTGGAAATATAACCAGCAATAACAGGGTTGGGGTGGCAATAACAGGGTTGGGGTGGCAATAACAGGGTTGGGGTGGCAATAACAGGGTTGGGGTGGCAATAAGAGGGTTGGGGTGTGTGTTGTTAGCAGTCTCTCAGTTAGCGATCTGAGCCACACAACGTGGGCACCAGCCAGGCAATAATGCACTCAAGGCTGGAGTTTCCACTTTTCGGGGTTTACAGGAAGTGCGCAATGAAAGGATCGACACGACACACACGGGGAAAGGAAAGGAGGAGTAAGGTAAATATGGGCTATTCTCTGGTCAGGTTTAATGAGGGTGAGAGTTAAGAAGGCCGGTGACCAGGGCGGGAGCAGCCATCAGGCATACAAAGTGGGGGGGGGGGGCAAAGTTTAGGGTCAATTTTGAAATCAATTCTAGCCCTGCCAAGCAGTGTTAATTTTGCCAGCATATTTTGATTTAATTAAATTTTTTTTATTTTAGTCCTTTGACAAACCTGCAATTTAGTTTCTCATATTTTACTCATCTGATATTTTTCATTAATTAAGTAAACTAGTTTTAGTCAATGAAAATTACAGGATATTTAGTCGACTAAATCTACTTTCGATTTAGATTAAATCTACAGTACATGCAGTCAATGAAACTAACAGTATCAATCTAGTGATAACAAACTGGGCTTATTTCTGTATCTAGTTCAATCCATGAGAGTGGGAATCGCTGTCCTAGAGGACTATGAGTTTCAAGATAACTTTTTAAACCCACATAAAGAAAAAATCAGCTATTTATTTCTCTTAATGTTATTGCACTTCAAATGTTTGGTGATTCCCCCCGCTATTGGCGCCCAATGCGGCTGTCTTTCGCATCGTATGTGAACTTTGCCCGTGTACCGTTACGTTTTTCCTACCTAAAGCCGACTGTGGCACAGAGCTGAGTCATACCATCCAGAGATTATACAGTGCTATACAGGATTTTGATGATAGATTTTTTTTTAAAAATGCACTGCCAGTATTTCTAAATCTTTTCGGTAAAATTTGCCAGGGTGAGAGTGGGTCCCTATAATATAATAGACGCAGGATGGGAATGTCCACCATCATAAAATTCACCCAAGCCTAGCACAGACATACAGAGTATACAGACAGCCTTTAAAGACAGAATAGTATGGCTTATGCACTTAAAGCCAGTTAGATCAACATTATCCAAACATGCGCAACTACAATCAACACTAAATAAATATGTTATATCTGACTGAATCCTTTTCAAATTCATCTCATCCTGGCATTTTCATCTTGTTTTTGTTTGTTGAGGATAGAGTCAGTACATTTCGTCATTTTGGCATCCTTAATTAAATTTTTCATTTTCCTTTTTGTCAATTAATAATCTACGTTGATAATTTTGTCATAGTTTTCGTCAACAGAATTAACACTGTCTGCCATTGACCTCCATCCAAGGAACTTCATTCTGTGAATGTAGTGTGATGTCATTTCCATTCAGTATATGTACGTGTTCAGTATGGGTCTTAATGAAGACCACTGTGATGGTAATATTGCTCCTTAGTGTGGTTTTCAGGCTTGTCTTAGGTAAATGTATTTCACACCCTGGTTACTCTCACCAGGCTTGTCAGTGGTGGGTAATTTTGTAATTCTAACAGAACACTGTTTGACCAGTATAGTCTGATCTTAATCATCTGCTTGTTTCCCAGATAAGACGTCACAAGGAAACAGCAACACGAAGGTGAGGATCCCAATTTATACTTCCTCTCCATAATTGCATGCAAGGCTATTCTCGCATTACCCAGAATATTCATTGGCCAACCAGCACAGAACATGGGACCTATTTGTGTTGTTTCGTATGAGTATGTAGAAGCTGCAAGTCAACAAACTATGGATCTTTGCAGGTGACCTATACGTCGCCCAGCCCCGGTTCTGTGTACTCTGTGGAGTACGGAGTGCTGGATTTCCAGAGCAGGCCAGTAAGCCAAGAAGGCATCCAGAACAGCGGACCCGGACCAGAGTCCCGAGACGGTGTTGTGTACTCCACCATCACCTTTGTGCCGCTGGCTCATCAGGGAGAGGCACATGTCCGATGTGAACACGGCGGCGGTGCGGCCGATGGGGAGCAGACACTGAGGTGGTGTCCCTGACTCCCACAGACACCAGGATCTGAACACTAACGGCACTCCTTCAGTCCTGTCTGCATGCCCTGGCCGGCATATCACAGACAGCCAATCGCTCGATCACTGGGTGGCCTTCCCACAACCTCAGACTTCATGTGCTGTATGCGAGGTGTGCTGGTTAAGACATTTGTCCCACAACAAGGAACTGTCACCTTCCAGCGCACTGACCAAACACTAGACCCTTACAGAGAACATTGGTTTGTGGGCTACAGAGCAAAAGTGATGGTACATTCTACACCCACCTGCCTTCAGTAGGCACTTAACATCCCAGCCAGTGCTGAGTCCATCACATGCACACTAAGGGCCGTGTCACAGGGCTCTAAACCAGGGTTTCCCAGCCCGGTTCTCAGGGAGACCATGTTTTTACTCCCTTCCCGACAGTCTACATTTTTGCTCCTAGCCCCTAGCAAAAATGTGAACTGTCTGGGAGTCTCCAAGGACTGGATGGGGAAACGCTGCTCTAACCTCTAACCGGCTTTTTGGGTTGCGCTGAGAGTCCTGGAAGTAAAGGTTCCAGTAGGGGATATGTTTCAAACCCCCAGGCTTGCCGATGCAAGAAAAGGTTCCTACCTCCTGGGCCACCATGCTGCCATATACTGGGTCTCCGTTACAGAAAGGCTGGGACCTGCCAGGGGGATCAAGAAACCAAATAAAAAACACCTGCCTTCTCTAAATAAGCCTTTGTTTACTGCTATGCTGAGTGCAGATAATGGATTCCTGTCCAATCTTGATGGGAATTTACACTGCGCGTTTTACTCATATTGATACACGTGGGAAACAGACAAATTTATTACAGACTTATCATCTTACAATCGGAAAAAGTGACTGAAGCATGTCCTGCTGTAAGCTGGGTTCGAAATGAAGCTCACCTCACGTTTGTAAAACGAACCACCAGCTCGTATTCATTGTGTGATGAGTATCGTTTCACGCTGCATGGTGATTATTAGTGTTGGCATATCGGCAGGCAGAAGCTCACGGGAGTCCCCAAACTCCTGAAGACAAACAACATGTTTTCAAAGTCCTCCGTTTCACACCTACACTAAGATACATCATTAGTCATTCCGCACATCTCGTGCAAAAAGGTTTTGTTAGAGGCCCATCAGATCAGCAATTCTGCAGACACGGACAGAGGTATTTATTGTATTGGCAGTTCTGGGGGCTGCCGATTAGTCAAAAATATCGGGGGGGGAGGGGCAGAAAATGACCCCCGAAGCCTTTCTCAGATACCGGAGAATCTGTGAGAGGAGAGGAGGACAGGGGAGGATGAGAGAGGGAGAGGAGAGAAAAGAAGAAAAAGAAGCTTTATTGATCTTGGGGGAACATTCTGGACAATAAAAAGATGGCTCACTGAAGACTGTGGTTCATAGTGCAAAGGCACAAATGTAGGTCATGTGATGGGATCTACCTGAAAGCTGTGAGGCATGATGGACAGCAGGGGGAGAGACTCAAGTTTAGTAGGGAGGAGGAGGTGGGAAGGGGCATGAACTGATTGAGAACCTGAGTGTGGCTGTGCATTGGGCCAGTGTGAGTTTTTTTTCTGGTGGCTGCAGTGCCGATCCTGCCACTAATCCCCAAATTTCCCAGTAAGTTGGACCTGCTTGCAGGGCTAGATGTAGATTAATGTCATACCCTTGCTCAAGGACACAACAGAGTAGGATCACTGTGAGCATTCACAGGATTCGAACCAGAAACCTTCCGATTGCTTGCACAGATCCCCAGCCTCAGAGTCACCACTCCACTCACAGTAGCAGGGAGTATGGATGAAAACAAACAAAGCAAAACACTGGATGCTAATATATAGGGACACCAAGAATGACTTGCAGACAGTGGAATGAATCAAAGAACATAAATGGTCGTCACCTGTCAGACAGCACATAAACTGTTGAATCCAGCTTAGCCAAGTACCAGACTTAGTGCTTATCACAAAGCAGTGTATGATGGAACCAGTCATTCAAAATCTAATCTCTTCCATCAAGTCAAACCAACTGAAGATAAAACAATGCCAATAAAGTCCACTAGGTGGGAGCAGAGACAATATTGTATTTTAACGTTACATTTTATCCAAAGCAAAGCACATTTTTGAGAGGGCAGGGTTAAACACTCCCTGGAGAGGTCGGCAGCTACGGGTCTTACATGAGTGTCCAATGGGGAATTCACTGTGCTGACCCTAAGATTTGAACTGGAAACCTTCCAATCACAGGTACAGTGTTCTAACCTACTGAGCCAGACACCCCCCCCCCCCAATAAGATACAGTCATTGATCCCAGGAGGACCAGAGGTGCTGCCAATTGCCTTGTGCATGTAAAGATGAGTCGATGAGTTCCTGCTCACCACTGCCAGTGTCATTCACTTACTATTATGATTCTATGACGCAACAATAGTCTCCTTCCAACACAAACAATCCATCATCACTCAGTGGTTCCAAGAACTCACAATGCAGAGGTCAGTACCAAATAAACATGGCTACCATTGAGCTACTTCAAGAAAAGTAAAAGCGGTCCTCAGAAACCCACAGCAGTCCACTTTCTGCTACCTCCCTCTGGGAGCTGGGAGGGAGCAAAAACATGGACCGACTGTAGGTCCCAGAGGACCGGATTGGGAAACACTGCCCTAGAGAACTATGAGTTTCAAGATAAGTTTCACTGTCATTTCTTCAGCTCATCTGGTTACAGCCGATTGGTGCAAGTCACTGTTAACAAAAAAGGAAACTGCGCAGATGCATACATAAAATAAATAAGGGCTGCAATCACACAGGTAACAAACAAGGGGGTTGTGCACTACAACTGTAACAAATCTGTTACGATCATTAATAGACTTTAGTATAAGACCATAATATGACCAATCAGGAGTGGACCCAGAAATTCCAAGAGAAGGTTAGGAGCCTGAATAAACCCGAGAAACAGTCTGTGGAGTTTGATGATACTATCGAGTCGAAACACCCAGCAGTGGGATGGCAGGAGTACATCCGAAATTATTTTTCAAGTTGAGTCTGGGCTCAAGTGAGCTGGAGATCATGGACCATGGCATCTAGGCCAGAAGAGTTTTTTTCACTCTGATTGGCAGCGAAGGTGGTCTGTATTACTGTTCTTTTACGAGTTTAGTAGATCATGTCTAATTTGACATCAAAAAGGTCAGATGTTCAGTCTCGATTCCAGGCAAATTTCCAGCAAACATTACGACATGCATATTTTTTATTAAACTACTACTACTGCAACACAGTCATTTCTCAAATATGACTATAATTTGACCACACATGCAAACTGGGGAATGTGCTCTACAGGTTCACTTGCTCCATGTGCTACCACCACTGGGGTTCGTGCAAGTCCTTGGTGGTCTTCCACATGCCCCTGAACACCATGACCCGTGTGAGGAAGGTCAAGCAGAGGACGTACAAACAGATGTGCTGCAAATGCCGACGCCATCCTCGAGGAGCCCTATGTTGACATAAGCAGCCTCAACGACATCATGGACAAGCTGACAGAGAGGATCCTGATCAAAGGTTATGGGCAGCCAGCACCTACGTGCAGCAGTAACTATCAGAAGAAAATCCTGAAAGTCGACCACCTGAGTGAATACGGCGAAGCTTGTCAGAGAAGCACCTGTGAACTGGGCTCCTAAACACCAAACAAGAGAGTGATCGGTGGACGGAGACAGAGATTAAATACAGCAAAGAAGCTTTATCGTAGTAAAAGTACGTTTTTTTTACTTTATTAAATATACTACATACTATGTCCGCTTAGTTTCATGCTTTGGTAACACAACACACATCTAGTCATCCATCTACTGTTAAAACTGAAAAAGTAAAACACCATTTTTCTCGGCGGTTCTGCGCTTGTTACGTTTTCCACTCTAGGACCATGTTCACCCAGGCAAACTGTGTCCGACTTCACAGCAGATCGCCATCGTTTTAATTTCCTGTTAATTTCCCATTATTCAAAAATCACACACACTGGCGGGAAATGGCTTCACCAGTCTCGTGCCTCTTAGTATGCGCTGGTAGCTATTTTGTTAGTAGCCACCGAACTACGAGAAAATTACACAAAGTAACAAGATACTGGAGAGCGTGACGCCTTATTACTCCAGGTCCTGCTATGACGACAAGGTCCCCCTGGACAGGGATCCAACACACACCACAGCTCAGGAAATTTTCAGCTGTTTTGGACCATACTGCTTCTCAAATGCAGATACGTCGAACTTGCGTTTGCACCCATTGTAGTTCATGTAGCGGATGTTCCCGAAGATTGGCCTCTCCTTCCAACCCTGGTCATGGATACCGCAAATGGACCACATGCAACCTTCGGGAGACAGACGGAAAAGGCCGTCTCAAGGCTAAAAGCATCACACCACGGCAAGAAACAAAACACGAACGCCAGTGTCTTTGTGACAGCAGAACAGGAAACTTCAGAAGCTCTCAAAGACATGGTCACTGCGCAAATCTACCGATATTCATCCTGCTTTGGACGATAGAACACAGACAAATTCCGCCTCACCGACATATCCGTTGGGATCATTTCCATCCAAACTGTAGCGGTCATTGAGATACAGGGAGATGGACAGTGCCTCTTCTGGGGACGAGGTCCACTCCAGAATCTTCTTGGCCCAGTACATCCGCATGAAGCCGTGCATTTTCCCTTCCAATACCAACTGGTTCTGAGTAGGACAGAGAAAAAAAAACAGGACAGAAATAGTCCCCAGAATGCAACACAGTTGAGCCCTTTTCTCCATGAGCTCACATTAATCACATGGAAAGAAAAGTAATGCAATGTGACATATGATAATACAAGAATTATTTTTTCCTGAAATCAGAAACTTCCCAGAATGCTGTTGAGTTTTAATTAAAAATGTAATAAGTATTTGCGTGTTTAATTAAGAGATTCTGAAGATGGCTAGTGATGGCCGAACGAAGCTTCATGAACCATTTGCTGTATTTTCTGACCCCACTAGATGGTGCTCTCTGTTCAAAGTGCTCAAAGCATGCCGCAAAGCAAACCAAGAGCACCATCTAGTGGGGTGAAAAAATACAGCAAATGGTTCATGAAGCCCATCACGAAAGTCGGACTCCCTAAGTAGCCAGAGAACGTAGTTCAGGGATTGACTCAGCGAAAGGTTTTGTTACCTGGGCAGCATTCCAGAGCTTGTCACCCGTCCTGGCCCCCTCCAACTCCTGACGGGAGTAGAGGTAAGGGCGGTGGTCTTTGGCATGGTCCTGCAAACTCATCCGCGCCCATTCGTACGCACCTGCAGTTTAGACAAAAAGGCACCAGGTTTTCATTTTTGTTCAGATCTGTGTCCATAAACCGCTTACTGCAGTCTTCGCGGTTGGTCACACAGGAATCTGCTTAATGGGGCAAAGGTGATGTTTTTTCAGATGCAAACAGAGCGCGATAACATGAGGGGTCATAAACAACTGAAAATATATAGATTATTTTTGGAAATTAACCAACCGCAGACCAGGGGTTAGAACCTTAGAGAAGTGTTTTCCAATCCGGTCCTCAAAGACCGGTAGACAATCCATGTTTTTGTTCCATCCCAGCTCCTGGTAACAATGTGGACTGTCTAGAAGGGAGCTGGGAGGGATCAAAAATGTGGACTGGCTGTGGCTCCCCAAGGATCGGGTTGGGAAACACCGACAAGCTGTGCTACACCGCAGCAGGCCGGCTCTCATAGGCCATAACAATTTGGGTTTAAGCAGAGACGCACCGCGGTATAATGAGGTGGTGGGGGTCCCAGCCCCCACCAGCCACTCACCCTCCACGCAGTCGTAGTTTCTGTTGTAGTAGCAGAAGTTGTCGGCCAGCTCGCGACGCAGCACAGCCTCCTCAACGAAGGCGTCCACTGAGGGGCTCCCACGCGCGCCCCCCCGCCTCACCTGCAGCACCGCCCGCTGGGCCGAGATCTGGCCTGAGGGGGGCGACAGAGAGCAGCAGCATTACTGAAGGAGAGGTACGGCCTCCATAAACGTGCTGTGTGTGAGCGACATACTGTTTGCACAGACCACCTCGGGGGGACTGACAGTAGAGACCATAATTACACAGTATTTCACTAAATTATGTAGTTTAAAGGAACACTGATAACTCTACAAATTAACTACATTTATAAAGTTCTTTTTAAAAAAAAGATACGAGTAATTTATCTAAAGATACCAGTGTTTACAAATCAATGTCAAAGTCGACTTTATTTATAAAACACTTCTAAAGTAGCGCAAGTTGAGCAAAGTGTCCTACAGCATAAAAACCAATAAGCAAATCTATAAAAAAAAAATCTAACAATTAAATAAAACAAATAAAAACATATATAAGTAAATAAATAGAAATGATAAGGTCAGTAATCAGGAAAACAATAAAATCAATCCAAGCAATAAAAGTTCTTAAATCTAATCTTTACCCAATGAGTAAAGATGCGTTTGAGTAATGATACTAGACGATGCAAAAGCAGCTCAGCTGCAGATGTTCCAATGGTTATACATCTGGGGGGGGACCTCATTTCTTTGTTGCCATGGACACAGGGACTGACCAGCATGCAGCCAAGGGGACAGATGACTGAGGGCTGCACAGTTTGGGTCGTTCCTGTGCGCCGCGTAGCTGTGGAGGCGCTGCTCGATGAAGGACTCCAGCGTGGCCATGCCGGCCGCGGTCCCGGCCCGGGCCCACTGCACCTCCCCCACGGTCGGGTCCACCTTCACAAAGGACCGGGCCCTGTCCCAGTCCACGGACTGCAATGGGGATAGTTTGGGTTAATATTTATTTTTTATACAAAAAAATAAATATATGTAACAGTTAAATACAAATATGAGTGAGTGTATCATACAGACGCACCCTCTAAATTTGCCTCTCTAAATTAAATATAACATTTAAATTTTTATAATAAAGCAAAAGCTAAATAAATTAAAATCCAGTAAACATGTGGTAACCAGTAGCCCAGTCAGGAGCCCCAGAATAGAATCTCTGAATAGAGATTGCTGGAGGCGCTGAAGGCTGAGCCCAGGTCTTACCGCCACGGGCCTCTGGGCGCAGTGTGGGTGTTTCTCCACCGGGGGGAACTCTGTGAGGAACTTAGGCAGCAGCTTGGTGATTTTCCCCCGCATCGTCCTGGCTGAGTACTCCTGCTTGTCCGAAGCCAACCAGCAGGGCACCACATTGTGGGCGTCCACCTGACAGGAAGCAGTCATCAGATTTCAGCGGGTGCTTTATGTTTAGGAAAATGATACACGATTTACGAGGAGCCGGAAAACACGGAAGCACCTGGGAAGTGGAATGGAGACAGAGAGGACAGTTCTAAGACCCCACATCAGGGGGTCAGGAAGCTTCAAGAAGCGACCAAACATCAGCAGCTTTGGAGAACTTCAGACTATTCAGGAGTCAAGCCAAGCTTTGGTTTCACAGTCAGATGATTCAAACAGCCTAAAGCTGACAAGCCTGGTCTGCAGGAGCTCACTGGGTGAGACTCAGAGTCTATGACTGTGGTGTCTTATTGCTATTTTTAGATTAACTATATAACTGAATCTTTAAAAAGCAAGTTTGGCTTGTTAGACATCAAGCGCTAATGTTCCTAAGGAACCACACAAACAAGGCAGGAAAGAAAATTTGGAAAATACTGACCAAAAACTGTGAACAAGATCATTTCAATTCAATTTATTTTTATATAGCGTCTTTCAAAAGGGAGGGGCCCAAAACCATACCTGTATAAAGGGAACATCCAAAGGGAGCCCCTTCTTCACGTCCTCTACCCACTGCAGAGGAACCCGCAAGGGGAAGAAGTCCGTCACCACGGTGCCCAGGGCCCAGTCCTTCACGAAACCCGGCAGGACCTCGGCGGCGGCGCCCAGCAGCAGGTGAAACTGTATCTCCAGGGTCCTGCACTCCTGAGGAAGAAGCAAAGCTCTCAGAGAAGGTAATCCACAAGGTTGATCGTGGCTGCCCTCCACTGGTTATCAGCAGTACTGCACTCTTAAAATGTGCAAAGTGTACCCTGAGCAAGAGAAGCAGCGTGAAGATGATGGATGGATGGAAGGATGGATGGAAGGATGGATGGATGGATGGATGGATGGATGGATGGATGGGCTAAATTCACCAACATACTGCAACTTGGGTTAGAAGTAGTAGTATTGGAAGAATTAAGGCTTCAAAGTTTGGGATGAAGTTTGCCTGATAGGTACCACTGGGAACCATTAAATTAACCAGTTTGAAAGGCTGTTGAACACACAACACACAACTACCACACTGCAGCATCTGAAAACGTTTAATAATTTATCTGACTCTCTTATCCAAAGGAACTTAAGGTTGAGAAAAGGTCTACGATTTACATGTGCTGCTAGGGATTTGAACCCACAACCCTTGCGTGGTTTGTTGAGCTACAGGAGCATTACACAGCTGACTCTGCACAATAATCAAGGACTGACCCTCTTCCATCCATCCACTATACATTATAGGCTATGGGCAGGGAGTTACCGTAGCGACCTCTCTCAGGCCTTCCAGCATGAAGCCAAACTGGCGGATGGTGGCATCCAGAAAGCGTGGCATCAGGCAAAAGCACACGTGCAGGGGAAGCTGCTCAGCCAGGGCCAGCTGCTGGGCATAGAGGAGTGCCCAGTTATCTGGGGTGTGACACAGAGAGGGTATACTGAGATGCCATTCTTGGGACACTGGGGGCCCTAGGCAAAAAAAATTCAGGTGGGCCCTGTAACTCACTCTCTGTTGACACGGTAAAATGTATTACCATTATTTCAATGATGTCTGCATTAATAAGTGTAACCTTCCTGAACAACAATGGACCCATGCGTAATAAAGATAATAATGAAGATGAAATGCGATGGAAGTCTTGGGGCAGGAAATGACGTTCACCTTGCACCCTCTGGTCACGACACATCCAGTACAGCACTCCCTGCGATCCCTGCTTCACCTTCTCAGTTTGGGACAAGAAGCGGAGCCGCTGCGTATTGACCTCGGCGCCGCTGGCCGCCCGCCGCAGCCCGTCCACCTCCGCCACCAGCCAGCCTTCTGTTCGCAGCAGCTTCGGCTCTTTCCGGCCACTCGCCGCCGCGGACTCGGCTCTGCGCTTTCGGGCCACATCGACCGATGTCTTTTCCCCTGACATGATGACCCGCTGCACAGAGATGAACCGAACTGAGCACTTTCTTTCGCTCCAAAGAGATGCACAAGCTTCAGTGTTTAAGTTCACACAGTCGTCTTTCAGTGAAAAAAGAATTACACGTACATTAAAACTTTGTTACCGCACGCTTAACGCTCACACTCAGGTGCATAATACTTACTATTAATATGACAGTTACTTATTAGGGATACCTCGTATCGCAACTGGCACAAGTTTGTTTCTACATCTCACTGGCAGCAAAGAGGAATTACCGTGGCCAGTTGAGTTTGAGTTTCACCTCCGCAACTGCGCGAAACTACCTGATAAGCGGATGATGTTTGTTAACGTGATATGCAAACTGAAACTCGAAATGAGGTTAATAGCCCCTTTCTTACCCGAAACGTAACATCCAGGTTATTCCCCCCAGTTGCAGTCAGAAGCTGTGAGCAAAAACGCCCAAAACCGTCAAGTGGCTCGTTTCCCCCGGGCGACCCACGTGTTGATTTCGCCAGGTTTCATAACCAGTGCAGTTCCAGCGTTTTCTCAGCGCAGCAAGCTGACTGCGGATGGTTTAGTTTTTGCTGTAGATGACTCGCGCAGTTTGTTCTTATGCTTGAAAATCAATTGTGTTAGTAAAAAAGATTTTTCCTACATTGATTAAATAACAGTACCTTTATTTAGCTGATTTGTGATTTTTTTATTTATTTCTGTATTATTGCTGAACTTTCAATCAAAGGAAACTGTTGTGATTCTCTGTAGGTGTTTGCAGTTTCCAGGTCTGAGCAAAATTTCCAGCCCAAGTATTTCCCGAAAAAAACCCCACAACCCCAGTCTTGGCTTTACGAGGTTTCTAACAATGTAGTCACAATAGTTAAATTTCAGAAGTGAATCTGAAGTATTTCTGTGAAATTCCGAGTCCGTTTATGTATCTTTGAATACAGAAGGTGCAAACTAGCAGAATTGTAGTCTTGCTTCCAGGCTCCAAACTAAAACTTTATTTCTGCAAAAAATGATAATATTTCTTACATTTTTTGAAAGATACCGTATCCGCAGTGGGGTTTCCGTATCTTGGCATGTTCTCAGATGATGTACATAGCCATTGTGTATGTCTTGTAAGTCTCTGCCTGTATTTGTTAGTGTAAATAACTGTTGTGCTTCCGAGTATCACGTCACGTGAACTCTTACCTGCATTTATGTGTAATCCTGACATGCTCTAGTGCGGGGGTGTCAAACCCCAGTCCTGGGGGGCCGGAGCCCTGTGTAGCTTTGTTCTTTCCTATTCTACCACAAATGATTCAGCTCAAGAGCTGTGTGGTAATTAGCACAAGGGGGTGAATCAGGTGTGTTAAATGAGAGGAAACCCAAAACTGTGCAGGGCTCCGGCCCCCCAGGACTGGAGTTTGACACCCCTGCTCAAGTGTGAGCCTTTCTGTCTAACTAGTGTGTAACCTCCCTGCATTTGCCTGCCATGTTGGTGAAATCCTTCTTGTTGCTTATTACGCGGTCCTATGAAGGGCTGATAAAAAGAGGAACTTTGTGTGAAACAGTCGCCGCTGCGATGCCTCGGTCTGCCCGACGCTACAATACTTTGCGACTGGCCTGTTGCTTGGGGCTGTAAATTATCACCTGTGTGTTTGTGTGTCCCTCGACTTCTGTGCCGAGGGCTGCTGTTAGATATACTGCATCACTCACACCTGCCCTTTGCTTACTATATAACCTACAAAAACTGTCCCTGTTTGTGAAACTCGCCTAATGTGCCATGAATTGCAAACCTGGCAACCCTGGATGGTAGTCAAAGATCCACCTTCTTAGCTCTCAGAGAAAAGGCGTTGTTATGATATTAAGCATCCACCCCATTGTAGTCATACATAACATTTAGCCAACGTGTCTCAGTCATGTTAACCTGAGTGCAATCTGGCATGTTCTGAGAAAGCCCATGCTGCAGATCGCAAGAAGTGTCCCATTCCTCAGTACCCGAAGAAAATTGAACCCTCTGTCCCCAACAGGACTGGTTCACGCTGATACCACTCTTCTCTAATGATGTCCTGCAGAGCATTGGAAATTTCACGGGAAGACACTGTGACATGGAAAAAAGCGATAAACTTGATGTTGTTTATAACCAGGAGCATTTCCCAGGGGAAACGGGGGTCTGAGGTCGAGATGACGGCTGAGTAGATACCGTACCTGTGAAGCAGTTATTCCCTCAGAGTGTTCTAGAAGTACAGGTGCTCCGAGATTCTGCGGGCAGTTTGCAGTAGAGGTGCTACTGCAACTGCTGCAGGAGAGCAGAGCTGTGAGAATGAGACCCTTCCCCGTCCCCCTGCCAGCCGTAGCCCTTGTTCTCCTCACAGGTAAAGTGGTCTTCAGCTTCCTCTTTAGTACTCAGTAGTACTTCTTTTGTATCATGCAATATTGCTTTTGGATTATTTAGTTCATGCTCCAAAGCATTTTATTTTCCTTCTGTATAGTCATAGTATGGCTTGTTCAGTATAATAAAGTAATTAGATTGTATTTTCATGGAGACACTAAGATAATACCGTATAAATGCCACATTTGCTTGTTAATGGCATAGCGATGCTTTACAACATTGTAAAGGTTTATGGTAACTTTACAAAGGGTAACAAAACCCACGTAAAAATCTGTGAAATTTAACTCCGATAGGAGATGATTATAAAAACCGACTGCTGTACATAGTGAATGCACGTTTAGATTCAAATTGATTTTAAATACTGGAACTTAAAATTTAATTAACAAGTACTTTACAGTGGATTGATTTGTAATAAAGTAAAAGACACCATGTGATATCACTGTGTGTAAATCAATGCTTTTGTACTAACGGTTTATTAGGAACATGGAGGGAAATGTATTGCGTTTTCAGATTATAATGAGCTTCATAAAATTTCCCTTATTAGGTTACTTTAGATTTTTAATAAACTTTCTGGAAATATTAAGATGTGTTTTTTTTTTACATTTAAATCCATATTTTTAGACATTTGTTTATCTTTTTGTAATAATATCCATGTGTATTTTCTACGAGTACCAGCCTATATAGATAATTATAACGTTCCCTTTGCTAATTTCAGCCACCTTCCATACTTAATATTGTGCCCTGTCCCCACATAACCCCCCCTCCCCACCAGTGCCCACCTCCCTCTGCCGTCTGAAATGCAAGGAGGGACAGAGTGGCCCCACATACGAGTCCCTCCAGGATGTGTTCGACAAGAAGTCCTTCCGGCCCGCCGTCAATCTCAGCAACCCGACCATAAGCAACATCTCCTTCACCCTCTATGCCATCCTGGGTGTGGTGAGTTTCTGCGTCACTCTGTCTTTGTACAGGCTAAAAACTGATCTGGGGGGGGGAGGGTGGCATACAGGACATGTGATACCCTGAGTGTATGAGATCCCCTTTTCCCAGTAGCAGTTAGTTACATCAAATTGGACAAGTCTTAGTAATTCCTTAACCCCTATAGTATATGTTGCCAAAAAAAAGGTTATAAAACTTGAACCTTCTCGCCCATCATGCATGTAATTGAAATGGAATTGAAATGTGACTGGTTGAGAGCTGGTAGCTTATGTGTGATTTTTCTGTGCAAATGATACTTTTTTTCAGAATGAAAAGACCCAGATTCTGACCACATTTCTATGGCTTCGGCTGGTGAGTCTCTCCCACGTAACCAGCACACGTAACCGAAACGGCACGTCCAGGCTATGCCTTGTTCAGTGTTGACTTCTTTGCTAATATATGTTCATTGTTGTGCAGTACTGGATTCATGAGTTTCTGGTGTGGGACCCAGGCGAGTGTGAGGGTGTGACGAAGATCTCACTTCCGGTCAGAGAGCTGTGGTCACCTGACATCATTGTCTACGAGTTGTGAGTGACGCATCTGCCTTCCTCGGCCCACCTGCTGCCTCACTCGCTCTCTGCTTGCCCATGACTAACGACACGCTCTCTCTCTCCCGTCTCCCGCCCCCTCTATCCCTCAGTGTGGACGATGATGTCTCCCAACAGTGCCCTTACGTCTACGTCAACCACACAGGCCACATTCGCTATGACAGGATGCTCAGGCTCGTCAGTGCCTGCAACTTGGAGATCTTCAACTTCCCCTTTGACATCCAGAACTGCTCGCTGACCTTCGGCTCCTACATGCACACCAGTAAGGCTCTTCAGCCCCACTTTTTCCTTCTCAACTGGACCACCTACCATCCATGGGCAAGAATGACCCTTCTCCCTCTCACCCACCTCACAGTCCGAGACGTCCGAGTCAGTCCGGCCTTGTCCTTCGAGGAGATGTCTGGGAACTCCAAGCAGTACCTGGAAGCCAGCGGCGAATGGGAGCTGGTGGTCATCCAAGGCAAGCCGGACATTCTGAAGTTTGGCATTGATGAGTGGGACATCATCACATTCTGGGTGAGGTGGTGATATTGATGTTTTGTTTTCCAGCATAAAACTCCTCACAACACTATATTATTTGACCTGATGAAGAACAGAGCTCTTGTCATTTGAACCTGACCAGACTCAGGTTATCATATTAAAATACATTTAATACAATAGGACAGGAATAGGGAACCAGATCCATGGAGGATCCATGCAGGTTTTTGGGATGACATCTCAATCAGCCAATAATAAAGCAGTGGTTCTCAACTCCAGTCCCAGGTACCCACTGTTATTGGCTGATTGAGATGTCATCCAAAAAACCCGCACCGGCCCTCCATGGATCAGGTTACCCACCCCTGCAATAGTATCAAAATACAACGTGCAAAAAATATACCTTTATTGTTAATTATCTGAATAAAGAAAGATGTATGCATTCCAGGCTTGGTTCTTTTTCCATTTAATCTCATTTACTTTTTGGGTAAAAGAGCTGAACGTGATACTGCATTAGAACAGTAGATTTTATTGGTCCTCACAGTGTCACCTCCCTTGGTGCCCTCTGAGGCCACGTAAATGCTAACCTGCTGCCACTTCCCAGATCGTGATCAAGAGGCAGCCAGTGCTCTATGTGGTGAACCTGCTCATCCCCAGCTCCTTCCTCATGATCATCGACATCCTGTCCTTCTACCTGCCGCCGCACAGCGTTGACCGTGCCTCCTTTAAGATGACCCTCATCCTGGGCTACACTGTCTTCCTGCTCATCATGAACGACCTGCTGCCCAGCACGGCGAATGGGACGCCCCTCATTGGTCTGGCACCGCAGAAGCAGACACCTGCTTAACACCTGCAGGCGTATTCAGGACATTCACAGGCACACAAAAGCTTACGAGTACTTTCTGAACACCCACAGACACACAAAGGTGCATAAAAATACCTGCAAAATATCCACAAGCACACAGAGGCCTACAGACAATTGCCAAGTGCACAGGGACACCAACACACAAAGGTGCATACAAATACTTGCACACATGCAAAACATTCACAGACCCACAGAGGCCAACAAACACCAAACACTCAGACACCCAAGGAGCATACAAATACCTGCAGACATACAAGCACCTGCACCCAACGATATTCAGACACCTGAAAACACGGGAAAAACAGTGAGCAAATCACATTTACCCAGGTACTATGGGAGCATGGAACACTTAAGAGGACCAACATGGTATGAATATTGATGTAATTTAGGTTAAGTTTCAGATGATTTTGAAATGAAGTTAGAAATAAATATAACTTGTACATCCAGCTGAAATAAAAATCAGATGATTTTTGCAATCAAGTAAACATAAGAGCTGGGAAAGACAAGGTGCAGTGCGCTTTCAGTGCCAGTAGCGGCCAGTGTTGAGCACTTCAGGTCCAGGTGCTACAAATCCAAGCCAAGATTTTGCTTCAACCAACCAGTTGAGCATAAAGAGTCACAGTCACAAAGTACTCCACTGGTTGGTAGAAACAAAAGCATGGTGAATGTGGCTGCCCACCCCCCACAGGTATCTACTTCTCGGTGTGCCTGGCGCTAATGGTGATCAGCCTGCTGGAGACTGTGATCATCACCAACATCCTGCACTCCATGAAATGCCGCGACGTGCCCCGCTGGGTGCGGGTGCTGGTGCTGGGCTACATCGCCCGCCTCATCTGCTACTCCAAGCCCGACGAGCCACCCCCGGTCACCCAGGACCAAGAGGATGCTGGGAATAGCTATGCCCACAGCAAGAACGGCGGCACCAGCAGAGGTGAGGACCTCTGCTGGTTCCCACTTAGCGTAATCGCTGTATAAGTCAGAGCGTAATGTAGTCAATCTCAAATGGGCTACTGGTCCAAATTTACCCCCCCCCCCCCAATGCTTATGGCCCGAGACCGACATGGGCAGAATGATTTCAATCCACAACCCAAAACACCTGCTCTTTTGGTAGATCTAGGTGGCATTAATGGTTCTTCTGAAAGGACCTTAATGCAACACTCACCATATCTGCGACTTTCATGGAGTAATTACTTTTGATCTATACACAATAGATACATTAGTAATAAGAAAAGTGGGGGAAAAAAATAAGACGTTACCTCATTTACTAAAAGGTAGGTCTGTCTCTCTCTCTCTCTCTGTATTCAGTATGACTCGGTGTTTCTCAACCCGGTCCTGGGGGACCCCCAAATTCTCCACATTTTTGCTCCCTCTCGGACTGTCCACATTTTTGCTCCCCGAGAGAGCAAAAATGCGCACTGTCCAGGAGTCCCCATGGACCGGAGTGGGAAACACTGGGCTAAACTCACATTTCTGCTAGTGATGAAAATGCCGCTCCCCCCTCTAGAAGTGGCCCCACTGCCCCTCAGCGTGCCTGAGCTGGTGCAGATCTCCGCAGACCTGCACGTGATGCGCACCCACCTGAGCAGCCTGCAGGAGGAGGACGCCCTGCACGAGCAGTGGCGGCACGTCGGCTACGTGCTGGACTTCCTGCTGTTCCGCATCTACATGCTCATCATCTCTCTTTATGCTCTGGTCATCATCGTGATGTGGTGCGTCTGGTACCGGCAGTAGGCCCGGCCCCGTCACTGTGGGCACGGGAGGGGACCCAGGACCCAGAGTCAGGCAAAAGTCCCAGGTAGTGAAATCACTGCTCAGCCACCTCATTAGGGAGAGCGATCAATAAAAGGTTGTTTGCCACCATTTCCCACTGCGACTGTTTTCTTCGGAAACTTCCGGAACACTTAACAAGCTCCTTCTCACACCTTCAGCCAGCCAGCCTGCTCTTCCACAAACCACCCCTCTCTCCAACAAGCAAGATAATAAGTCCGACCAAAAAAAAAAAAAAAAAAACGAATTAATTGTTGTGTTAATGTGCTAATTGACTTTTGTAAACCAAAATATATATTGACTTCATCCTTCAGAGGCAGAACAGAAGGGGAAAAAAAGACAGTCATCACAAAGAGGAATCATTTATTGCTAATAATAATAATAATAATAATAATAATAATCTTTTGACAATTTAAGTTACAGAAACATTCAGGACGGTTTGCCAACAGTGCACTTGTATCTCCATACACATGTAGCTCTGGTGGGGTGAAAGGTGCAAGGGAGCATGAGAACGAGCAAAGGAGGTCGGCCACGGCCGCCTACGTCTGACGAGCGAGCTCCGCAACCTGGCAGCTAGCAGCTGCACCCACACGTTACGTCCCTCCTTCATTCTCGCAGTCCAACATGAATAATCGACTGATAAATTCAGCCACCGGCTACATTTTGGGACATTAACGGCTTTTTCGTTCCCTCGCTTTCATCTCTCACCTTTTTTTTTTATAAGCAATTCCTATGTGCCACAAAAAAATGAAACGTTCTGTTCTGTGACCTGAGCTGGCTGTAAAAATCAGCGTTCCCCAATCCGGTCCTCGGGCTCCATGTTTTTGCTCCCTCCGAGCCTCCAGCAAAAATGTGGACTGTCTGTGGGTCCGAGGATCGGACTAGGAAACACTGCTGTAATGGGTCAGAACTGCTTGAAACTTGCACAGTAATTGTTCCATAATGGGAGCCTGTATATGTATTCATTCGTTTATTCGTTGGTTCATTCGTTCGTTGCCAGCAACGTCTTCCACTTTCGTCTGAACAAACCTTCATAACTCGGCTTCTAGGACTATAGCTACAGCAGCAGTTTAAATGCAGAGGAACGAAAAGTAAATGCTGGGAATGCAATAGAGAGAACCGTGGTGAGACAAAATGGGGATAATGTAAGGGGGGAGGAATCCTCCAACATCCCCCCCCAGGACAAATCATCTGCAGCCAATGGGCCATCCTTGTCCTCTGCAGCCCCAACCCGTCCCCGACTTCGGGGTGCCTTCTTGAACTGGTGCAAAATAAATAACATACTAAAGCCAAAAGACAGACAACTAAAATAAAAGTGCCCACAACCCGGCGAAACGGCCAAAGAACACATTTACGTTTGGATTCTTGCTTTCTTGCTCCTCCCTCCTGCCCTGCAGCATCTTACTCCCAGTTTATCCACCATCCCATCACCGTCCTCCCCTCTACTTTGGATCTCTGCAAAGCTAACTCAGCTCAGCATTAAGGAAGAGGCTTCCTCTAGTGGTGGGAGGACTCGGTCCTCAAAACCCAGTGCCGGTGACTGACCCAAGCAGAAAAGGCTGAAGTCAAAAAGTCAACCTACAATAACCAACCCCCTCCCCCCGCCCCCCACCACCACCACCCATCATCATGGGCTTCAAGGTCACTCAGCACATCAATAACCTTCAGTGAGAGCAAACCTCACACTTTCAGGTTGGTAAAGCATTTCTACAGACAAATATATAATATCTGAATAAACTGCATCTAAATATATATATATATATATATATATATATATATTTCTTAAAATTCAGGAATACTAAAATATTGAGCAGGTTCCTCTTGATGTGTAATTTCTACCACAGGCAGAGAAAGGCCCCAGAAGCCAAGACAAATCAGTTAAAAATAACTTGTTGCAGCTAGGGGGCGCACTTCTGAGTGTCCGTTTGGAAAGATAAAGGTTAGAGTCAAAGGGCCAGGGGTAGAGGGCCGTCCCACGGCATGGCTACGAGTCCACGTCGCGCCAGCATCCTTCTGCGCGCCTCCTCTCCTCACGCCTCCTATCCCCCGCCCTCGTCCTCCTGGTCCTCCATGTTCCGCCTGGCCAGCTTCTCCCTCCTCTCCGCGAATCGCCGGCACCGGGGGCAGCCCAGGCCGACCCGGAAGCAGGCCCGGTGGTAGCAGGCGTGGCACTCTGGAAGGACCAGGCAAACAGGCAGTCGGTACCAACGTGCGCTCATATTCTATGAGGCACACTGCATAATACAGGTCAAAATGAGCTGCTATGCTGCATTCTAGCCAGTAGAGGGCTCACCTTCGCATGCTCTGCACTTGCTGAGCTCGAAGGGGAAGATGATGTCCTGGTCGTTGCCGCAGAACTCGCAGACGAAGCCCTTAGCCTGGCAGAGCTGCGGATAGGCGTGACAGAAAGGTGAGCGCGGGGCCGCCTCTGCCCAGCTGCCGGCCGCGTGTGCGGGCATGCCGCCCACTCACCACGCAGTCCGCCACGTGCGCCGTGCCCTGGCGGAGCAGCTCCTGCAGCCGTGGGCCCAGCTCGCCTTTGCGGACGCCCTTGAGGTCGTTGAGAGAGAAGAGGTGCAGGTCCTCGGTCAGGTGGCAGGGGATGGCGTCGAACTGATCCAGCAGCCTGGCGGGAGACATGGAGGCGGGCACTGAGAAGGCAGCTGGGCGCCCAGTCTCTCGCACTGGCCGGGCAGCCCAGTCTCTCGCACTGGCCGGGCAGCCCAGTCTCTCGCACTGGCCGGGCAGCCCAGTCTCTCGCACTGGCCGGGGAGCTCGCTTACTTTGTAGCGAAGCGGCACGTCTTCAGAAGAACCTTCATGTGGGACAGCTGCAGCCTCAGGAGCTGAGAGCGGAGACAGGAGATCGGATCCAGCGTTTACAGGAAAGGCCACAGGGTTCAGGCACAAAGCGAAGGGATATGGGGATCGGATCCGCAGTCAATTCATACTTCCAAGCAAAGGCGTTCGGTCAACATACACGGGTCGCTGTGAAAGCAGGAGCCCGGAGCCAAGGAGAGCCAGGGGTGGGCCCACCAATCATAAGCCAGGGGTGGGCCCACCAATCATAAGCCAGGGGTGAGCCCACCAATTATAAGCCAGGGGTGGGCCCACCAATTATAAGCCAGGGGTGGGCCCACCAATCATAAGCCAGGGGTGGGCACCATGGGAAAATACCAACCAATCACAGATAGGTTCAACAGGAAGGCAATTTGTAAAAATCTTCAGTACTCCCAAAAACACGTCCTAAGCCCCCCCTCAGAAATTCCTGTGGCCCCCACTCTACATCTTAGGAGATGGTCCCATTCGCTTCCAGGATCGAAGTGAATTTGCGGGTGGTTTTCACTTCGACTTCGATCCGGCGCAGCATGGGTGGGGTTGGACCCCTTAACGTCACAGCAGTGCAGTGGAGGGGGATATTTATTTTATGCACATTTGCATTGTTATGACAAGGAAGTTTTTAAATAAATTTTTAAAAAGCGTTTGTGCCGTTACAACAAATTACAGCCGCACTGAACCATGTATACCACTAATGCACGCCAGTTACGTCAATCCCACTAGTTAGCATGCTTCTCACTGCCATACAGTATTTTCAAAAAGAACACTACTCATTCACTGAATGAAAATACCGCAGTAAACTACCGCGGTATAAGATATACTCTGGTCATGTCCATTTTTGCTTGAAATCGGCGGAGACGCTGGATATTTTTCACTCCAGTGTGACCGCACCTTTAGCGATGGAGCCAGGCCTACCTTCCGGTTTCTAGGCAACATCAACAGCGAAGCCGAAAGCAGGCGTCAGGTTTAAGAAGGCCTGCGCGCGTCTACAAGGCCGAGCGGCCAAAACAGACGTCCGCTCACCCGCACGCTTTCAAGCGCCTTGACCTTCTTGTAGAGGCCGCCGTTGACGTCGTTGGGGTTGAAGAGCGGGTCGTTGGCGATCTTGCCCAGCAGGTCCCTGGCGAAGTTGCTGACGGGGTACTTGCCGAAGTCCCACTTCTTCAGCACCCGGCCGGGCACCACGGCTTGGGCGTTGTCGTGGCAACACTGACAGAAGTAGCGGCCCAGGTACTCGCAGTAGCGCAGCCTCTTAATGAAATCTTCACAAAGGGAAGGACCGGTCATGTGACGCACAACACACACAGGAACGATACCATCCCAGTGCTGCCAGTCTGTCGCGATCCAGCTCTCATTAATAATCTGCTAAAGTGATACCTTCATTGGGGGAAAAAATCACATTTAATTAGCAGAAACTTTTATCCAAAGTGGCAACTAAGAACGGTCAAGCAGTCCCTACAGCAACTGGGGGGATAAGGGCCACGCTCAGGGGCTCAATGGTAAATCCACTCTGCCGACCACAAGATATGAACCAGCAAACTTCTGATCACAAGAAAAGTCCCAAGCCACAGAGCCACACGCACACTGCACTTCGTGAAGACAAATCCGACGACTGTGGACAATTCCGAGCGTCGCAGGACGACGCCTCATACGGATCGCGGCTGGGAGACGACCTAGACGCTCTTAAGAGTCAGTTCTGTTGTGTAACCATGGCCAGAGGGAATGAGACTTTAAAAACCAACGTTTGCCCGTGCCAGCTTTTACATGCCCATCCACTCAGCGAGCCTCACCTGGGTCGACGCGGGTCCCACAGCCGGCGCACCGGTAGTTCTGCCTGGCCACTACCACCTTCCTCCTGAGGAGAGGGGCGAGTCGGTGAGGTTACGCTGCAGCACGGCTGGCTAACCCCCCCCCACAGCCCCGCAGCAGACCCACTTAGGCGCAGGGTGGATGTTGAAGATGATTTGAGGCCTGGGAGGAGCCCATTCCAGGTTCCCTCGCACCCGGATCCGCAGTTTATAGATGTCAGCGTGCTCCCCGTCGTCGGGAGAGATGGGCAGGGATTTGGGGAGGGGCAGCAGCTGGGAGGAGGAGGGGATAGACGGAGGTCAGCCATTGGCTGGGAGGACATAAGGCACTCCCACTACACTCTGTGTAGATAAGCATTGAACCTTTCTATACATGCAGCTGTATGAGCCATAAGCTATAAACACGGGGGTCTATGGAAGCGATTAATTCTTTAACGATCTGGTCATTTGTGTTTGAGGCTTCTGGTTGCTGTACAGTGGCGCCCCCTACCTTCTGAGGGGCATCATGCTCCGGAACCAGCCATTCGAATTCGGAGGCGGCCGGCAGCTGCATCCCCTCGAACTGACGCAGCAAACCCATGGCCACGGACTCGGCCGAGTTGGACTGCAGGAGGGAGGGCGAACTGCGGGGGGGGGTCAGCAGACATGACTCAGGGGCCACCGCCTCTCTTATTATGTGTGTGTGTGTGTGTGTATAATATATACACACACACACACACACACACACACACACACACACACACACTTCAAAGGAAAGTGGAAATCTGTCACTTTCACACACTATAAATACATATAAATATATTTTAGGAAGTGGGGGGTTAGGATTTCACAAGAGATAATGGTTCATAAGTTCACGCAGTGATGTGGAAGCAGCCTCCCATTCTCAGCACTACTGCATTTCCCCCCCCCCTTCTAAGAAAGATAACTGGGCGGCTCGTACCAACCGCTGGATTTGACCAGCTGAGAGACGTGAAACAGGAACTGTGGTAGCATAAGAAAATACTGACACCCAGTTAAAAAAAATTTTTTTTAATTCCATCAGCAGTAACGCTTTACACGAGAAAACCATTTGCAAGCTATGCTAACGGCAGATGGCTTACACACACATATATTCCCGTGTTTTAAAATAAATTGTGACGACCTATTGGTTTTGGTATTCTAAAAACGTTAGCGACCCATAAAAGCGAAAGACGTCAGCAGCGTGGGTGTCGGGGGGGGGGGGGATTCAGTCTATCTGGGCCGCAGACAAACCCCAAGGACTCACATGGACTCAGAGCTCAGGAACGATCTGCCGCTGCTGGTGGCAGAGGTGCAGGCCACTCCCCGCCTGACGTCGGCGTCTGACGGAGGGAAACGGAGCGAGAGTGAGCAGACGAAGGCGGACGAGGGGACAGAGGGAGAGAGGAGACAGAGCGGGTTAGGGTTAGCAGGGGTGGGGGGTGTGGGTGGATCAGCACCAAGCAGGTGGAAGGTTATGGCTACAGATGAAAATGAGCCTTTGAGTGAGCGCCACCCCCAGGCCAACACAGGGAAAAGCAGGCTTGCCCGCACGCTCACACTCATCCAGCGAGACGCCCACTTGCCACACCGCCGCCCCCAAAGCACACGCTCCTACCACTAAGCTAAAAGCTACAAGCACAGAAGCTGCCACCACACACAAAAACGTCAGGCCCCGCCCCCTAGGTGCCCCACCCACATTACATCCATCCCCGCCCCCTCAGTGACTCTACCCCCTCCTTGACTCCACCCCCTCAGTGACTCCACCCCCTCAGTGACTCCACCCGCCCAGATACCTGAGAATAGAGAGGCGAGTGACAGAGAAAGCCCGTTCCGGGACACCACCAGCAGGGAACCGCCCTCGCTGTCATCTGAGGGACAGAGAGCACACTGAGCACTCCTCCACGTCACAGAAACCGGGGTGCCGACCCAGACCCCAGCTGTCACCCAACATCCACCCGCATTTCACCCGTAACGGGAAACATTCGCCGCGTCCTCATAAACCCCGTGAGTGACGATGGCATCTCCACAGCAGACCAAAGCAGAACTTCTGAAAGCAGATTACGGCAGCCCGTAAGCCGCATCCATCCAAGCACAGACGCTACAGGAACTTGCTGAGGCAGGTTTGACTCTGGCCGTGAGGCTATGGAGTCACTCCACAAAAACGCTTCATTTTACATCAGTGTATAGCCTGGCGTCTCTCCACACTGGCCCCAGATTACCTGCCATTCTGGTTCCAGCTGGAACGCTAGAAAAACATAAAAAATTCAGCAACAAAATGCAAAGTGCATTGAACACTTATGTGCATCAAGCCCACACATGTTCATGCTTTTATCCATCATGATCTTTCTTAGAAAGTCTTGAGCATTTGTACTGATAATTAGTAACATTAAAGTGGAGTTATCTACACAGTGTCGAGTTAAATATGTCGTCTAACAAGCCTGAAAATTTCATGTTTTTTTGTCTACTGACCAATAACGAGATCCCTGCAGCCCTAGAAAAGGGACAGTTTTTTCGGAGTAACTGAGCCAAATGAAACGTAAGGTGACCCCTTTAGCTTCCTGCTCTACTCTTCTTGTACGACTGGAAGCAACAGCAGCCCATCGAATCGCACGAAGAGGCTGCGAGAGCCACGGACACGCAGACGTGCAAATCCCCCTCCCCCACCCCAGCCCCCAGCCGTCTAGCAGCTACGGCGGAAACTTCCGGCTCGTCGAACCCGCCACCTGCGTCTGGGGGGGATTTCTCTCTCTGCTTTGTCATCTTGCACTATCACCGCGATGAGTGAGCCGCCAGATGGGTGAACATAAAAAAATTAAAAATGTGTGAATGGGGAGGGTGGGGAGGGGGGCAGAGTGGGATGATCGGGTACAGCGATGGCACTGCGTGTCTCTTGGCAGGGGGGCAGGGGCACGTGCCCCCACTTCGTACCTTTCAGCTCGCACTCCTCGACGTCCTCGCTGGAGTTGGACTCAGACAGGTGCACAGAATTCTGGGAGCTGTGGCCTGAGGCACTGTCCGTGGAGGTGAAGGCTGACGGGGCGAGGAGGTAGGGATTAGTCACGGCCTACCCTTCTTACCCATAATGCCCCTCAGGCAGATTACAGGCAGAGGAAAATGGAGAATCTGGAGGGAACCTCATACCCACACAGAGAGGACATGCAAACTGTAACCCTGGTCTTCAGAGCTGACCATGTGCATTTACATTGTAAATATTTCACATACAACACAAACCAGCGTGATACATGGTAAGCTGCCTCTTGGTTAATTGGTTAACCTGCTTTTCAGTGTAGCACATAAAATATATCCCTGACGTTTTGGGGGGACAAAATCTCCATGAAGCGACATGAACGTTCCACACCAGTGTGATAACACCGGGGGGGGGGAGAATGAGGGGGCAGCCAGCCCACCTCTCTGCGACCGCACGTCGCGCTTGCTGCGGATCTGCTGCCTGCGCAGACGGATCTTCTGCTTCAGCTGCTGGATCTCGCAGTCGCTGTCGCCCTCCTCCTCCTCCTCCTCCTCCCCCGCCCGCGGCCGGCGGCGCAGGTTACATTTCATCAGCTCGATGGCGGCGATCAGCGACTCCGATATGCTGAAATGGGCATTTTCCTGGGGGGGGGGGGTCACCCACAGGTCTCTTACAGTGAATTTACCGAATTCGTATGTCAGCCATCCGCAAGGCTCTCCTGCCCGCTGTCGGCACCGCCTCCCGGCCAATCAGCTTCGAGGGGGGAGGGGTCTAACCTTCTCAAGGTCGGCGCAGCTGCCGAAGTCCTGCTCTGAGAGGTAGCTGATGAGGCTCTGACCTTTGGAGGGCCGTCGGAACATGCTGTCCGAAGTGCCGCTGTACTGGGAGCCCTCTGCCGGCAAACAAACAGAAAGGTCACCAGACTCCGCGGAGGGCAGAGCTCAGAGTGACCAACAGGCCAAAGTCACGGGCCCAGCAAACTGAACCTGGCATTCAGGGCTGGAGGGCAGCTCCAAACCCCCTTAGCACCTTATCTGTACCTGAAAAGGGGGCGGGACTTATTGTCCAAAAAAGGGCAGTGCAGCAAACCAATCAGAAGTCAGAGGGGAAACCAGCACGGAATGAGATCTGGTCGTACCAGCCTGATTGGACCACTGAGACCGGCGCCAGATACCCTGTACTTACCGGACTCCATGTAGAGGGAGCCAAGGGTGCCGGCGTCACTGCTCGAGGCCGAGAAGGAGCCGCGCTCTTTCGCCGCACGTCCATTCGAGGAGGAAGACGACTCTGTCACGTAAATACACAAACGTCCAGCGTCACGCTGCAGCATTAGCAGGCAGGCCCTGCCGACGCCAACATACGTGTCAATGTAAGGACAGACACACATGTACACCTGTATTAGGATGAACTCGTGGATGATTACGTCTCTCACGTAGCATGTAAATAGCTTAGATGAACTGATTACATAAAATTCAGATACATCGTCCATGATTCACCCATAATATTATTGGGCCAAGGTTGAACTGTATAAATGTGTTTTTTTACTGATTATTTGTATAACTTATTTTTCATGAGTAACTTGTTTCTTATAAAAGGGGCCAGTATGCTCTGATAGTCATAAAAATTCCTGTCCTGGAAAACTTATTCTGTTTAAAGACACTTATCCTGTTGTTTCTAACTTATGGGATGCTTAAGCTGTTACCTTGTGATTCTCTAAGGGCTTCTTCCTGAGGGGCAGAATAAATGATTCCATATGTTGCACTGGCAAGATGCTTATCTCGTCCTCAAGGAAAGGGGAGGATCGGTTGCGGGACACTTATCTTGTCTTTAGGAAACAGAGGACCTAATCTTGTTTAGCAGGGTCGGGAAGGCATTAAGCAAGCAGCATTACCCAGACGGAAGTGGGAATTGCGGAACGCAGTGCCTGGGGGAGGGGGTGAGCCTGGCCAGCTTGTCCCCTGCCCGCACGCAGTGCCCAATTTAGTATGAGAAGGGGGGAAACTCAGTACTGACCGGAGCTCAGCCGTGGGATAGAGCGCATCGCCCGGCACTTTCTCGGGACTCACGCGTTGGTCTCCTGCCAGGACTGAAAGGGCCCTATATCCCTCTCTCATCCATTTTAATACAACACCGTACAGCGACAAAAAAACATGGTGTATCTGGGGCAGACTGCGCTGCGGGACTTTCAGCAACTTCAGGCTACTTTTGCGTTCAGACGCTTCAGAAGCAACTTACACAAAAGGCCAACAGAGAGACACCAAAATGTGACATCTGACTGCACTTTCCCATCGATACTAGAAATGTCGTCTCATTCACAAAAGTACTTAACCACAAAATTGTGACTGAAAATTGCCAATCAAAATTGTGACTGAAACTGGGTCCCGGTGGCCTGTGGACTGGATCTAGTGGGGGGGGTGGGGGGGGGGTCTTCCCTTGCCCTATGCTGCCACTTCTTCCCTCTCATTCAATGCTCCGACAGAAACGTCCAACCTGACCGAGGCCACATCCTAGTGAGGCCATCATGAGCATACACAGAATGTCAACGGAATGATGTCAAGACAACCCAAAGGATCATTTAAAAAAAAAAAAGAATGAAGAACAGAGATGTGAAATGTCAGCTGAAGGAGGGTCATGCTGAAGGGGATGTGGAAAGACAGGGAATGTGCAGCAGCAAGACACAGCCAACCTGCTATAGGATCCTCTACTATAACGGTGATGTTCCTGTGTCTCCCTCCTCCATACAGCCAGACAGAAGGGGAGAAAGAGAAGGGTTAGGGTGACAGCAGTTGCAGGAAGACCAGCAGGGAGGAAACTCAAGATGTGCTCAGCTGAGGGTAACCGGAAGCGATATCAGGAGAGTCGTTCTTTGTGGTTTTCATCATGTGATCATGGTCGCCCCCTACAGGTCCCAGAGGTCATCGCAGCTGCCTGTTCTTTATCCTCACCTTGACTGTGCTTCAGGGCCACCCCGGTGTCGGAAAGGGACCGGCTGTGTCCCCGGCCGCTGCGGACAGATGTCCCCTGGCCCTCCGTGAACGAGGAGCGGCGGACCGGCGGTGGGGCCAGGGTGGCCGAGGTAGACCGGGTCGCTGGTCCCTCCCCCACCACGCCCGAGGCGGAGCCGGCAGAGTCACACCGCCACCTCCGCCGGCCGAGGTTCCCTATCGCCAGGTACTCGGGTCCGTCGTCCAGGTCCCCGTCCGCCGAGTCCGTAACGTCTCCCGGCTGAGTCGGGCCCGGCTCCATCACAGAGATCTGGGGCTCTGGTGGGGAGCTGGTCCAATCAGGAGGTCCTCGCTGGCCAGATCTGCATGCCCAGGGCGCCCCAGAGGAAGCGTCGGACAGAAGGGACCCTAAGGAACAGAGAATATCCCCCCCAATAAAGCCTACATGTGGACCCTTCCACAGCCCGTTCTGTTGGATATGATGACAAAGGGCAGACACAGCAAATCACAACACAGCGGCACCTGCGGGTCACAAACACAATCCATTCCAGGAAAGTGGTCGTGAACCAAGGCAATTCTTCCCATAAGAAAGCATTGAAATTCAATTAATTTGTTCACTTTTTAATCAATTTATTTTGTTTTTTTATAGAAAAAAAAAAAGAGTAACACAGTATAGTGTGGCGACGGGCGGACCGAGGCATCGCGGGAGCAGAGAGCGACATGGAGACTTGCTCGCCGGGGAAATCACGTTCTTTATTAACCGTCCTTAACCCTTGTATCGTTGTTAATGTTAATGGTTGCGTTTCCATATTGTCGCGCGTGTGTTTGCCCGTGTCTTGTGTGTACCCGGTCCGATACTCGCATGTATTTAGCATGTATAAATCTTCCACCGTGTGTGCATCTTGCGGTTCGGCGTCTGACAACCTTGTGTTGTCTGTGTATTTGGGTTCGGTGCTCGTTGGGTGCCTGTTGTGGTCATTCTACTTACGATTGCACGCAGGGCATGCTGGGACAGGAATCTGGTCGAGGAATCTGTTCGTCGACCAAATTTTGTACGTGAACCAATGCATTTTTTCCCCGAAATTTTTGGTCGCAAACCAAATCGTTCGTAGACCACAGCATTCGTGAACCGCAGGCACCACTGTATTATTAATGAATACTATGAAATACATTATTTCACTAAATTCAAACAAGCAGTACAGAGTTCACAGCAACCCCTAGAGGGACACATTCTGTATGGACGCTGTTGTCATACCTGCGTGGTCGTCCTGCAGGGACGACTGGGAGACAGTGAGGCACCGTGGTGGTAGCCCCCCCAGCCCCCCCCCACCGGCCAAAGGCAACATGCAGAGGCTGTGACTCTTTGGCAGGCCGGGCAGCGGCTCCCTTAGGGACGACAACTGAAGATAAAGATGGGCGGGGTCAGCAGTGCAGGCGGTAGCCAATCAGGGAATATAATGGGTGGTGCATGTTTGGGAGGCGGGGCTAACCATGCCCGTGTCCACGAGGGCCAGCAGCCGGGGGTCATTCTGCTCCACGGCCTCCAGGCACTGGAACATGGCTGCCACATGGGGCTCGCTCAATAGGAAGGCCTCATCTGAGACAGGGGGAGTCCAATTTACTCATTTGGACACATTGTCGCCATACCTTCAGCTCATGACTTAAGCACGTCTCCCCTATTCATTTAAATGGTACATTCCTGACCCTTGCTTCACATGGTCACTGGAATGTGTGATACAGAAACACACAAACGAAGAATTTGTTCCTGACAGGAGACCAAAACAGCCTTAAATCATGTGGCCACCTCGAAAATGACTATTTTATTTTTTTTTAAAGACACGGGGACAGGGTGTTGCTTCTCACCGTTGTAGAACTTGCGTGTGTTGGCGGCGCATTTCAGCAGCGGCCGCAGCTGGCCGGACAGACAGTGGACCTGCAGACTGTGAAGCAGCCAGCGCTCTGCCTTGTGCGCCTCCCCCACGCCCACGGCCCCGCTACCCAGCACCGGCTCCAGCTGGCTGAACTGCGGGGGCGACACGGGTACAAGCGCTCAGGTGGGAGGCTGGAGCAGAGCCACGGCACCCCCGTGTCCGACAAGGGCCTCGAGCGACACGCAGTCACGGAAGCCGGGTTCATTACGTCAAGTCGCGGGCGAATTACGACTAAAAACGCAGCACTATGCAACCAAAACTGCATTCCGAAAACGAACCCTGCATTGTCACACCTGTGGTATTAATAACCACTTCACTGAGGAATTCGCAAGTGATCTCCACTGAAGCGAGCCGTCGTCGTTCCCTATGCCCTAATTCCGCGTTCCAGTTATCATCGGATTCCACATGCAAACCAGGAGAGAAAAAAAAGAAAAGAAAAAAAACTGGCTCTGCGAAGTATTTCCTGGCAGCCAGCAGGGCGGCGTAGGGATTTAAGCGGGCAGGGGGAGTCAGGGGGAGTCAGGGGGCCTCTTACCTGCTCGACGTGAACAGCCAGGTGGGGGCTGACCTGACGGATGCACCAAACAAACCGCCAGAAATCCTTCTGTTTACTGTAAACCTGCGACAGAGAAACACTCTGCGTCGTCGCTTTGAAGCTGCAGCCACACTTCACTGTCACAATCAGAGCGCAATTCCTGCATCTGCAGCTACTGCCAGCCTGCTACTCTCAACAGGTTACATATCGCAACAAACGGGAAAAACACTGAATGACAAGTTAGTGTTTACCGAAGAAAAAAATACACAACGTATGAGAACATTCCTGTGTTACCTAATGTGACAAGATTTTCATTGTCTTCAACACAGTAAAATAAAACATCTGTATGTAAATTCAATCACAACGCATCAAACTGTCAACAAAGCATTCGTGCTTTGTTGACACTTTGTGTGACTGTAACTCTTTAAACTCAACCAGTTAGTTGAAACAAAACCTTGGTCTGGATTTCTACTTTCCAGACCTGAACTTTCCAACTTTGTCTGTAATGGATTCCTTTTGCGAGCAATATTGATGGTGTATTTATACATTTGCTTGAGATATCAACTCATACAGCTTATAGTTCAGCCTTGTGGTCTCCATGCCCTTAAGCTTTGACTTTGACCCATAAACCTGATAGTGATACATCAGGACTTTCAGGATCTACCTACCAACCATCAGCAAGGTGCCGCCTCACTGCCCAACCCCAGCACCGTCCCAGACCCCTGGTCCTCCTTACCTGCTCCTGCTTGAGGCCATGGCTCAGAATGTTGTTGAAGTCCTTATGGAGCCGCTGCAGGCCGCCGTAGCGGGACCACACGTTGGGGTTGTTGGTGGACAGCAGGCCCTCCACCGTGGTCTTCAGGCTGGAGAGTAGCTTCCAGCGCTCTCGCCTGTCCGGGACGACAGAAGGACAGCAGCCGTAAAAACCCAGAACTCAACCACAACAACCCATATTTACATAATTCTTACAAAAGCTTGTCTACATAATAGTAGATGTTGCTGAGGTACGTTGGAAGGAGATGTCTGGTAAATTAAATCCACGGTAAATATGTTCATTATATAGGAGGTGAAATGTACACCGACAGACCAGATGCTTATTTTCTGGCAGTTGCCAGCACTTATCAGAAAGGACACAGGACCTGGAAATCAGTGGTAATCAGTGGTAATCAGAAGGTGCTGAAACACTTAAGTAACATGACAGCGATGGGGGGGGGGCACAGGCACCAACACATGGTGCTGAAAACATGCTGGGCATCTTTAAGAATTAATCTAGATTAATAAAGGACAGAGGCGAAAACTATATATACATTAAAATTTGATTCTTTACTGATTCCCCATGGGGAAATTCTCCTTACACCCCCTCCAACTTGCTCTCTGAAGGTGTGCATTGTCGTCTTTTTATATACACATATTTTATATATATATATATATATATATATATTTTTTTTTTATTATTATTTTTTTTCCCACTATATAATTTCAACAGAGCTACCTGATCCGCGCAAATATGTGCTGGAACGCAGTCAAAAACAGGCAGAGGTGGATCCGGCACAAATTAAGCACTGTTGGTGATAAAAAAAAATTTGAAGAAAAATCACTTTTCTTTATGTTCCTCGAGTCAGCATTTGGTAACAGTCCTCAGTTATGTACTTGGACGGGCTGAAGCAGCACCCATTAGCGAATGGGCCTCCAGAAAACAGACAAGCCGTTTTAAGACGAACCTGAAACCAGTCAAGCTAAAAATGCCTGTGAAAAAGAATCATGCGCCACATGAGCAACAAATAAAACTGCGCCTGGCAGCCTGATACCCCGTGGTTTGCAAGCGGCGGAGAACGAACCTTTTCGGCCTAATTGCAGAACAAGAAATGCGGTGAGAGGCCAAACAATGTTTTCACTCATAACTTATAGAGGCCCACACACCTACAGGCTGTCACGGGTGTAAAGGGCATTCGGATCTGTCAAACCTGAGCGCAAACCTGAGGCACAGACCCCCCCTTCCCTTCTGCAGGGACAGCTGTGTTTGCTGGGGCCCGAGAAGCGGCAGTAATATCAGCCATGGCGTTATGCCGGAGGGGGGAGTCACACAAGCACGGATCTCATAAGGATTAAGGGCACATTTCGAGTTAAAGGGCAGCGGAAACGCGCGCGCACAGAATCGGTTTTTTTTTTTTTTTGTTATTTATGCTTGTTGAACAAACACAGCAATTTAACATTCTGCACATAACCAAGCAGCAACTGTAACAAATTAAAAAATGTGCAATTTCCATATTTATGTGCATTTAGTCTAGAAAACTCTACTTCTGCGAACTTACAAGAACCTTATTGTATAGGTATCTTGTACATATATAGTTTATAGTACTCTCCCATTCAATTTATGCCTCGAATCTATTTCATTGTAAATATACTGTACATCTGTTGGCGTGTTCCAAACTAAATCTCATTGTACTTACAATGACAATAAAGCATCCATCTATATAAAAATAAATATATATAAACTAAAGACAGAGGGGGGATTATCCATCTGGAAAAGAAATCAATTTCGTACACAATTTCTTATTACTGCCATGCACTTTCTAGGACACTCTAAAGAGTCATTTTCAAAAGCAATAAAAAAATCTACACTTATGAATATAAAACTTGCAATTAGAATGAAATTACTACAAACAGAATCTAACGTGTGTGTCGATGCGCAGCAGCAGACGCTGGAGACGTAGGTTTAACTCAACCGTGCTATTGCCCTGTACGTATTACACTGCAGACCTTATCTTCATAAAAATGCAGTTTTAAAACACATCTTAACCCCGAGCACCACAAGTCAACATTACAATCATAACCTGGCTGATAAACGGACCATTTTTTTTCCTTCATAAAGGATACAGTCTGGAAATTGTGTAACACGTACATGTTTTACTGCCGTGTACGGGCCGAATTACGTCTGTGTTTTTACTGCGATTATAAAAATTAAAGTAAAACAACCTGATCATACAAAACGCCACCGGTCCACCTTCGGATGCAATTCAGCGGCAGCCCAGACAAACAGCGGTCAATTTATTAGGTACATCTGCTTGTTAATGCAACCAGCCTGTATTACCGACGGTGATTCATATCGCCGAAAGTAAATACGTAAAGCATAAAATCAAGGTCTAGGGCAGGGGTGTCAAACCCCACTCCTCGGGGGCCGGAGCCCTGTGTAGCTTAGTTCTTTCTCTGTTCTACCACAAATGATTCAGCTCCAGAGCTGTGTGCTAATTAGCACAAGCAGTTGAATTAGGTGTGTTAAACGAGGATGAACCAAAAACTGTGCAGGGCTCTGACCCCCCAAGACTGGAGTCTGACACCCCTGGTCCAAGGGATCAGGTAATAGATGGCCATGCATTGGAATGGTTAACATATTTAATCTACGCAACATTAAATGTGTGATTGCTGGTGCTGGACATGGTGTATCCAGCCTCGCAGAAACACTCACTTTCCTTAAATTTCCACGTTACAGTGATGCACCATGTTAAGCACAGACGTTACAGCTAACAGGAAGACCGCAAGTGTCGAAGCAACACCTCGGTCTAACAGTGGTGAGCAGAAAGGCTCCGATGTGTATATCTACCCTTCAGGGCAGGCAAAAGTCAGTCTGAGCCGATGCTAGCCAAGTGCACTTAATAAAGCGGCCGCTGAGTGCACATCTGCCTGTTAATATAGTATAAAAAGAAGCCCCCGCAGACGCGCGGACCTGCACACGGCTGCACGGCGGTCCGGTGCGCCCACCACAGTCAGCTGTATCGGGTAACCCGAAGAGCTAGCAGGCTAGCAGGCTAGCCGGTCATGTGCTGAAGCCTAGCCCAAAAACCGCTATCAGGGATCGACAGGCAGGGGGTGGGATGCAGGCTTTTTAGAACTTCCCAGACAAAAATAACCTCGCCGAGACCCAGCAGCCAGGAAGTAGGCGGCTTACTCGCCGGTACGTCGATGAACATCGCCGCCCAGCTCGGGTCATTGAACCATTAGCTTCGGGGTGACCGGGGGGGTGCAGCGCCGGCCGATTAGGCGGCATTATGGAAACTCCTGTCTGGCCGCAGCTGCACGGATCAGAGATGCACCTACCTGTGTTCGCCGGCCTCTACATCTGTAATCTCCATGATTGCATCTGTGTGCCGCGATCGGCACTTGGTGGGGTGGGGTGGGGGGGGGATGAATATCACCTCCGACTTCCTTCACCTCCCACTCAGAAGCAAATTGTGCTGTCAAAGCCGCCCGCCGGTCCACTTTTAAAATAGGCTGGTCGGTCGGCGCCGGGCACTTCGTCACGGCGATGGTGAGGCGCTTTCTGCTGGACATCGGCGTCCGCGCTACTCCATCGCCTCGCCGACTCTCAGTAGCTGTCAAAGTCTGGAATGCGCCACCGCCTACACTCACGCTGCTCCTCCCTCCAATTTCCTCTTTCTAGCAGATGCAGGAGTCAGGACTACGTTACCCACAATGCACCACCGTCTATGTTCATGCATGCGAAAGTCATGACTACGTTACCCACAATGCACCTCGGCCGATATTCGTAGCGGAAGTTCTATTGCTTAGAACTTACTTTTCTCATAAAACTGAGTATAAAAATCATATACGCTAATAGATATTTGTTTTGAAAACGAAGCCGTTATTGGTAAAGATTATTTAACCAATGCTTCTCCTCTACCTGTTCAGTCTGTAATGTAAGTCGCATACCCCCCAAAAGAGAGAAGATGAACGTTATACAGACAATTAATCGTACGAGACATACACACATTAACGTCAGACACCGGAAACTGTTGAGCATGTTTTATTTTACTGTAGTAGATATTCACAGGATAGGCAATATCAAGTCAACAAGTGCAAAGAAATGGAAATAAATCATACGAGTTTGAAAGAACTACTTTCAACTATTTCTGGGAGCAAGGTGGTCATAGAGTACCCGAGGAGGACGGGATTAACTGACAGTATCTAGTTTATTGTATAACTATATATGAGTGTATAGGAGGTGAGAAACCTGATCCATAGCCCATGATAGACGTCGTAGCGTCTGAAAAAGGTAATTGCCAACCGTACAGAAGAGGGCGCCAACGCAACAACTTGGATACCAAGCACCCAGAACCGACAGAAGAAGAGCTGGCGCAGAGTGCGCATGCGTTCTCTGATATTAATGGATGGAGGTTTAATAGTGAATGGAGCAGAAGCGTATATTAGTCTGAGTCTTTTGAGATCGAAAAAAAATAATCAGGAACTGTCACAAAACAGCATGAGTGGCGTTGGGTTCAACTCCGGTGGGAGCTCCGGGCTGAGAGCCGGATTGGGGCTAGGAGAGAGCTCGGAGGGTGTCGACAAAATCGACATGTCTCTGGGTAAGGCCACGCAGTCTGTAGTGGGTAATGGGCAGGGGCAGCGGTGCCCGGCGCATTATGGATATGAATGGATAAGCAGCTCGTTAGAGGAAGTAAAACATGCGCGATTATTTGTTTCAGTGGTGCAGGTGATTTATTACAAGGGTTAAGAAGACCTTACCACGCCGCGTCCTTCACAGTAAATGAGTACGTTAGCAAGAAATTTACCTTCAAAAAAGACACGTTCATTGGATCGAGCATTTTGTCATTAACGCGTTTTTAACCCACTTTACCGTATGTTACTTTTTAAGCAGCCTGTTGTGCGGGGATTTAATAAATCAAATTGTGTTCTATATCAGTGTTACTGAATTGCAATATGTGATTTATGGCACATATGAAATATCACAGTGTCCGTATTGCCTGCTTGCTGTTCAGTTCATATCTAGTAAGTCAAACTCGCTCTGCTGTCATCTGCAGATGATATAATTAAGCTGAACAGGAAAGAGCAGAAGACCATTAGAGAAGGAAACCACAAGCTCTGGGCAAATGGCCATTTTCAGCAGGGAAGGAGAGTCGGATCCTGGCCTGGAGGAGCTGCACAGAGAGGTACTGAAACCTTTTCTGGGACGTTTCTGTCCGGTCCACACACAATGGCCCATCCATGCCTTTTTGTAAACTGGGCAAATCACAGCAGTCAGATTTAAGACCTTTAAAGGCGAAACTACATGCACAACACAAGATTAAATCTTTTTTTTTTTTAGCAGGAAGGACAATTCCGGTTGATATATCATCCATGTTAAGTATTATTTATCAATCAAATACTTTCAGCGCAATAGTCATGTTGACCAATGGGCTGTAATTGTCTGGTTCTGTTATAAGTGATACCCATATTTGTCAAAGGGTAAAAGCAAAGGTTGTTCTGAAAGCCTGAATAAATTGACCTTGCTGGGCCGTGCATTTTTAAGGCATATATTTCTTAGCTGTTAAGAAATGGTTGTATTCTTGTCCTTGTTTATCACTGAAAGGAAAGATATACGCACAGATCATTGATTCCCAGGCTCTTAACGCCGTCTTGTTCTGCAGGAGCAGGTTCAGGTTCAGCACGGCTAGGATCACGAGGGCGAAAAATCGCCGCTGTTGTTGGACGGCGCCGGGGACAAGGGGTCATCACAGGATTAGCGGCTCGGCGAAGTGCCGCACTCCGCAAAGGGATCAGTCCGTTTAACCGACCGGCACTGACTCAGGTATGGCAAACAGTAGAGTCACGTTGTCTGTATGACGTTCAGTTTCATTAGAGTCCCTCTGCTGGCTCATAGGCGACTCCAGGCTTTTCTGCCAAGGGGTGCAAGATGAGAGAGTCCAACCAGTCATTCATCCAGATACACCTGTAAAAAAAATGTAAACACATTGACAGTATATTATTATTCTTTGAAATGACTAACCCAAGCCACATTAAAGTTACACACAAATGTAGCTTAACTTAATTTGTTCAAATATTTTCCTCTAGCAAGGCAAGTTTATTTTAATAGGATGATTTAGACACAAGGCAATTCAAAGTGCTTTACAAAGGCAGAATGACATATTTAAATAAGACATTAAAATCACATTTAAAAGACAAAATAATAATAAGAAAAACTAAAAGTCAAACAAACAAATAATAAGGGCTGCATTTGTTATTGTATATTATTATGTGTGTGGTTGTTTTGAACTGAAAGTTGTTCCTATTTTGTTTAATCTGTAGCAGTCGCGTAAAAATCCATTTGTACTGCTGGCTAGTTTATGGGGCTAATTCAGGTTATGTTGCCACTAGGGCAGAGAAGTGGGTCAGTTATGTAGCAGGTAGCCTGATGACACCAACTGTAGGGCCCTGGAGTCACGGGCGTCCCCGAATCACCCCATGTCAGGTGACCTCATCATCGATGGCACTCTCCACGTGTGGACACCCATGTGCAGTCTGCTGATTTATATGGATTGGGGCCGTGTGATCCGAGTCGACGGTAAACAGTAGATAAGACCTTCCAGTCTCTGTGCTGTGCTCTTACTTTGACCTGGAATCAGAACATCAACATATTTTTCTTGGGGGGGGGGGTGGCATTTGCATTGCAATGGTGATGATTTAACCCTATCATGCCCTGGTCTTACCTTCTGTCTTACCTCACGTCTCTCTTCTCTCTCCTATGCCGCCCCCCCCCCCCAAAAAAAATTTTATAAATAAATCTCAGAGACCCCGGACCCTCGTTAAGCATCGTCCAACGCCAAACAGGCAGACAGACATCCATAGACGGGCGCCCCGGCAGACGGATGCACAGAGGGCAGCTGCCGCAGGTCTGCGCAGACCCATCCAGCTGCGCAGGTGGTGAGTGAGCATGTGCAGTCTGCTTCTAATGTTAAGTTAGAACAGGGAAATCATTTAACGGGGCACAGGTGCCTGTGACAGTTTCTGGATCTCGCCGCACGTGTTCCTCACACAAGTGGCTCACATGGGTGAAACGCATCACAATGGGTCTTGATAGCTACCCCCACCCTTCGCTTTTTGTTTAGGACCCCAGCTCCAATCCACCAGACCCAGAGGGACGCCCGGCAAGCCACCTTCCTCTACCGGAGGGGCCTCAAGGTATCGACCCCACACCATGCCGGCTGCAGCCTCTCCTATCCGCTGCCCCATGTCTGTCTTGGATATAAACACTCTCTCCCTTCCTTGCCCCCCCCCCATTTCTCAATTCTTAGGTCTGCACCCAAGTGCAAAGCCCTCCTGCACCCCCAGCCACACAAAGGACGCGCCCGTAAGTACCCCCCCCCCCCCATTTAATTTGTAAAAATCATTGAGTGCCCCCAGTATTAGAGAGAAAATAATTTCCATTCATTGTTTAATTATATGCTTTATAAATGGGTATTTTATCATTTATGTTTGAAAATGTCTTGACTTTACTATTTATGTTGGGGGGGGGGGTAGAAAATTATTTCCTTCTCTCTTAAAGAATCGAGCGTGAAGTTTTTTTTGAGGGGGGGCTTGCAGTTTGAGATTTTTCTCCCTCTATCCACTAGGTGGCGCACCTCGACAACCAACACTGGAATTTTGACGGTGTCCATCGACAACCCAACAGCCAGAACGCAGCCGGAGTGCGTTTCACACAGGCGATTAGCCTAGCTGTGTTAATCGAAGTCCAAATAGATTTTTTTTTTATCTCTGCCTCTTAACTAAGCAGCCTGCAGGGTGTTTAATATAGAATGTTCTACTCTGATCCACAGGCCCCCCCGATCATGGACATTGCACCCCCACATTCCAGCCCCCGGTCCTCTAAAGGAGGAAGAGGAGGAGGGGGAGGTGGAGAGGAAGCCCCCCAAGGGGGTGCCGCTCCAGTTCGACATTAACAGCGTGGGCAAGCAGGTGACTTTTCCACATCTTAAGTGTTTCCAGGCCAGTCACCTCCATACACTGACCTCCAGGGGGGGGGAGGTGAAGAGAATTTATTTTATTCAATTTCAGTAGTATTTTTATTTTAAAAAAAATCTGTCATTTCACAGTATTATTTTAGTAAATTTTTTCCAAATGTTTTTTTCTTTAAGTGCCGTAAGGACATGGTTTCAGTCTACGCTCTTTTTATTTTGTTTGAACTGTCGGTTTTTCCCGCTTCCTACATGCCGTGTCCCGGTGCCACCAGACCACGATGACCCTGAACGAGCGCTTCCGCATCCTGAAGGAGCGGCGCACAGCCGTCCGGGACAGCAAGGGCGGGCGCTTCGTCACCGTGGGTTAGCCCGTCCTCCCCCGGCGTGGACGTCCGCGAGAGGGAGAGCGGAGGAGCGTTCGGGGGGGGGGGGGGTGGGGGCGAGCGGGCAGACGCGGCCCCTCCCGTGCCGACATCACCCACACACACCTGACCTGGGCCACAGGGACGAGTCGGAGAGGATGTTGACGACCAGCATTTTATTCAACCCAGTCATTTTCCAGGTGGCCATCGTAAGAGGACAAGGCAAGGAACAAGAACAGACTGCACATCCCTTTAAAATCAGCAGATATCCGGAGTTCATGTTCCTCGCAAATGATATATTTTTGTTTCAATTTTTAAAATGTTTATTTTCCTGATGATATGAGCATTGTTACTGCGTTTCAGTTTTTTAGTTCTTTGGGAACATCCTCTACATTCGTCAGGGCTAATGTTACTTTTTATGTTATTGTATTTTATTTTAGAATGTGGGGGCCATTACATTGACCGCAGTTTCCATTGAGCTTCATTTGGTGCCAGGGAGCAGTGTTAGCAGTATGCACCAGAAAATGATTTCCGTTACTTGGCGTCCTTTACAAAACCATTTTAAAAACAAAAAAACTATTTTGTCTGTTTTATAAGAATGTTTCAAATAAATGTGCCACATTGTACTTGCTGGCTTATTTTTTGACATCCTATATCCTGCTTAAATGTGACATTGAGACTACCTATGGCAATCCGTTAGCGTCACTCTACAAATTCTTGTTTCAGGCAAAGTGCTTTTTTTTTAATCAGTCTATGGCATGTTTTCTCAGTGTAGCTCAATGCATGGAGATCACGTGTTCTCCCTGTGTTGCGTGAGTTTTCTCCTGCAGTCCAAAGACATGTACTTTGGGTGCCTCCCATTGTGCGATTGTGCTGGAACGGACTAGGACCCCCTTGGGGGTGTTTCCCCTTCCTTGTGTCCTACGCTGCCTGTGATAGGCTCCCACCCCCAAACCCTGATACCTGATAAGTGGATGAAAGATGAATGGATAGAAATATTCATGCATATGAAATTAGCCGGTCTTCAAGCTAAATGTAATTAGCCTCTGTAATAGTATTTTCCTGTAAGCTTGTCTGAACGAGTTTAGAATTGGGTGCAATGCAGCGTTTCCTTTCTGGTGTTCTGTGAACCGCGTGTACGTGCCATTCGGTATTGCGGGATGAGGAAAGTCTTCGAGACGAGCGCTGTCAGTTGGACCTGTGGGAACTTGATGTTTTCTGCAACACACTGTCACCAGAGGCCTCGGCAACTCCTGAGATGTTGCACAATGAGTTACCAAGGGTTTCCCGACAACAAACACACACCTCCCAACGCTGCATTCTTGGTCTCCTGCTGCATTGACTCGCGTTAGTCGGTTTTGCGGTACGGCCGTGCACATGTCACCGGACGTTTTGGTTTATGGCGGGTGGTTTTTCGGAAGTCTGGAGTCGACGCTCCGCTTCCGAAGTGAAGACGGGGCTGGTAAGGCCGCAGTAGTGCGAGGTTCGGTGAAAGCACGACACGAAAGGCCAAGGCTTCCGGAGACCTTAAATACTGCCCTCAGCAGGACAGAGCAGGTTTGCTGGACCCCATCTCCATGGCCTCCCGTTTCTCTCTCTGCAAGCACATTATGTGCTGTTCTATGCAAAGATCCCATGCTGGTCTCATGAGGGTGTTCTTCTGTAATATAATGCGAGATGTTATGTCAAGGACAAGCAAAAAAAAAAACATCTGTGCACATACACCCTATACGAATACATGTCAGTTCTGTAAACTTTTGTCCCTCCATTGAAATTTTAAAATGATTCATTAGCATGACCATTTATATTTCATTAGCAGACACTTTTTTACAAAATGATATATTTTTGTTTATGATGTTTTTGTTCCTGGAGCGACGGGTTAAGGGCCTCGCTCAAGGGCCTAAATTCTTTGCCCACCCTGGGATTTGAACCAGCAATGTTCTGCTCACAACATCTTAATCCTCTGAGCCCCATACCACCACCACCCTATATTTATAGGAAAGCTTGAGGTATGACCAGGTTTGAGCTAAAAGCCTTGGTGGGACAGAGAGACTGTGCTGTCCACACAGTGTGGGGCTGCTGGTAAATATAAGTAATTGAAAAGCATAAAATAAAATTAATCTGCAGCATCGCAAGGCCTAAGTTTGAGATACCCCACTTTGTGGGGACAGACCACTCGTCATCTGTTATCTGGGCATGCTTAAACAAAGGCCTTTGGATCACATCTAAGATAGAGAACCTAGACCACATTAGGTGGGTGACAGCAGCAGGTGACTCACTGTTTAATTATCACCTGTCCACCCCCTGCCCCCACACTCGGGGAGGTGCTTTGTGCAGTTGAAGGCCCCGGGCTTGTCCTTCACTGTGCAGCCTTTTCGTTTTCTCCCCATCGCCCAGAGGCGAGTGACTCACGGAGAATTCTCTCCAGACGATCGGGGCATGAGGCAACATCTCCAATCAGCATGCTCTGCACGTCACCGGTGGTGTTTGTGGCCGACGAAAATGGTCATTGTTCAAATGACAGGTTGATCACATGTGGGACCTGTCGAGCACGCATTGCATAACCCACTGTTTATTGTCCTTCCTTTGTCAGGCCCCAAAGTAAAGGAAAACAGAGTGTTTCAAAAGAACTCTGGCGTCATGGCCCCTGCTATTTCACATTACCGTTGTGCACAGTAGCACAAAGATTATATTGCCAAGTACACCCAATTTTATTTGGAATCTACTCCAGGACCAGGCCAACGAAGCGTGGAACATTGTTTACATCTTCCGGAGAACCTGACATTTATTTTCCAGTGTATTGCATGACTGCAAGGGGGGGGGGGGGGGGGGGGGGGGGGGAGCCTGCAGGTGTCTCACTGTGCCAGCAGGCATGATAGCGATCAACTTCAACCAAAATTCCACATAATCGACGTGAAGAAAATGCGCCAATCTGATAAGCGTGACCATTTTTCCAATTCCCATTAAATTCAGAATCTGGGGGATCTTGTCATTTTGAGTCTCTGCAAAAGGTCCAGGGACCTTTAGGGTCATGACAAGCTCAGGATTTTAACTGACAGTCCACCCCCTCCAAAATTGACTAATTTATTCTTTTTTGGGGAGGGAGGGCAGAGCGGTGATGGCGGTTCAGTGAAGTAGCTGCAAGAACTTGATTTGTGACTGAATAGCCTCAGGTGGGGATCTCTGCAGGTTTTCTGGCTCCTCTTCCGCACATTGAATCTCATTTGGTTTCAGCAGCATGAAGACAGATAAAACACATAAAACAGACGGCAAACTGCTTGGATTAAAATAATGGTGAGTAAATGAGACGCCACAGGATTTGCTCAAGTAAAAATATATTTTTCCAAGGCTCAGTGATAAAGCTCATACAGAACACTTTGCAATTCCTTCAGACAAAAACAGAAACTAAATGACAATATTGCAGTTGTAGACTCTCACCACGGTAACCAGTCACACAAATGGGCAACCGGAAAGCGAGCCCAGTCAGCAACAATGACATCGCCGTTTTCAGAGTCAAGGTGCACGGGGTGGGGCGGCACAATGAGGGGGGGAAAAAAACACAGAAAGGACATACCGGACTTCTCCATACGCAATTTGCTGGGTCCAAATCAGATTTTGAAAATGGGCAGATATAGTTTCACCTTCTCAAATTGAAACGGTGTACACTACATTCGAGAATATGAAAGTCATGGCTAAAGATTGAAAATCGTCAATGTAAGAAAATGGTCTGCACAGGAGATTCTAAACACAATGTAAAGCGAAGATGCATTCAGGTCAGTCTATGCAGTCAGTGAAGACCCCACGGTCTGCATTTCTTCTTTTGAATCTCCAATGTCAGCATCTCGCCATATATTTTGTTTTAATTGTTCGCAGACTGACGCAATAAGAGTGCTGATTAAAAACATGAGGTAAGAAAGTGGTTCGAAGATTATAAATCATGCAGAACATGCTAAAGACCAACAAAATATTTTGTTGTGAAGGAGAAAGGAAAAAAAACTAAAAATACATAAAGTGTGCCTTACAAAACAACTGAATTACACAGCTTCGCATCTTTGGTTACAAAGTAGGTTGAACAATTTCACAGCTTTTTTTTTCCCCACCCAACAAAAAATATATATTTATATTTATGCACAAGACAACTTTTTTCTCCAAAGGTAGGGGGAAGTATGGCAATCACCTTTCTGTTCTTAGACAAAGCAACCAGAAACAGAAGTGAACAGTCTTCTTCATCAAAATAGCCCACCAAAGATTTCAATTAAGATTCCGTTTCACAAAAACTGGTGTTTACCTGTACAAACTTGCTATGTTTATAATACTTTACACTCTATACAAAATGTACATTCAAACTGGATCGTAACTAACGTAAATAAACAATCCCAAAGTAAAATTGCCATTAGTGTTATAGCTATGCCAGGATTTTTATTGCCTATATATTTAACTAGTTGACATAATACATCACCCACCTGCTGTGCGAAACTTTTACATTTCGAACTTAAAAAAGGTTTTTACTGATTCTGTGACATTTATGTTCATTGTTCATTGACGATATGAAAATAGCAGCCCAGTAATAAATAAACACAAACAGTGGAAGTGAACTGATGAACTGATTTCATGTTGAAGTATGGGTAGATATCCCAGCATCCCTCACTTCTGACATGAAAGGGAACAGGCCAAAGCGTCCCCCCACCCCATCCCATCTAGGGCAGGACACCGTTTTCACCTTTCCCCACTGTTTCCACTCAGAAAGCCATATCCTCTCTACCCAGTGAGCGATGCCCCCTCCCCACCCGGTCACACCACGCCACGCCACGCCACTCCACTGGCTGGCAGCTTCTCGCATCTACCCGGCCACCTGGGTCCGGGCCGCCCGACACCGGGAGGGGCCCAACGGCGCACACACACCCCACGCGCCTCGTCACATTTTTTTGAAGCTTGGGGTGAACAAGGTAAAAGACTCAATTAACTTTAAGATCTTAAATTCTCAAGAGGGTTTGTATTCTCCCACTCTCCATTCCCACCCCTCCCACTTCTGCCAGCCCTTGCCCCAGTCCAGGGGGGGCAGCATAATGCTTCACGCGGAGGATGTGTTGTGCTGAGGGGGCAGGAGCTGGCCGGCCTCCTGAGGCGGGGGGGCGGCCTGGACCGCGGGATGCTGCTGTTGTTGCGTGGGGGTCCCACTGCCACCAGCGGTCTGCGAGAGCTGGGACAGCTGGTCGTTATTGGCCAGCGACTTGAGCACGGCATTCTCCCGCTCCAGCACAGAGTTCCTCTCGAACAGCTCCTTGATCTGCTCCTTCAGCACCTCCACCTCCTCACGCACCGCATACATCAGATGGCTTTTCACCAGATCCTGGATGGGAGGTAGAGGATACATGCCAGTGATCTCAACAAAACAGACCATATTTATACCACCAGTGCGAACACCACAATTACCCCAAAACCAGACACATTCAAATGAGCTTCCATTCAGATTGAAATGCAACACATTGTTCTACTGTTCTTTTGGAGCCATTAAAAGTTAGTTTTTTGTTTTTTTTTTTTTTTTAAAGCAGTAGAATGTCTCCGAAAAACGACATGAGAGAGGCTGTAATCTTTGTCAGTAATTTAAAAACTTACCATAGCCTGTTCTATTTTATTGTCGATTGCCACAACACTTGCCCCAGAAGCACTAAAGGGGGAAAAAAAGAACAGCTTTAGGGATCACAGAAATCACATCCAAATTTATCCGCTCACCCATCCGACAAGCAGCTGGCTCAGAGTTTCAGACCAGACTCCCCATACTGAGCATATCAAGCTCAATGATGGTTATAAGACAGTTTAACAAGGTGCTTTGGCGCCCCCTACGAGACTGAATTAGGTAACTGGAACTGAATCGATAATTTGGACAAAGCAAGTTTACAACAGTAAACAAAAGTCCCCGTAATATTCAATTAACGATCTGTTGTCCGATGAAAGCGCAAAGGCGCGGTCGCTGAATGTCTATACCTGAAGAGACAATGACGTTAACACGACAGCGGAAAAGCGCTCAGCTTTACTGACGTACATCCGAAGGCATTACATTCTTTCCAAAAAAACATGCTGACCTAACCTTCAAAACACAACCATAAAAATCACCTGTATGCACACGATTACCGTCAAACGGAAATGTGTACCTAAGCTTATTATTACAGCAGGAATTTCTGCGACCCGGAACATGTCACTACAGTCGGGAAAAGAGAAATTCCCTAAAAGATTAAGTTAACGGTTAAGTGTAGTCAAGCACTGATTTTCTTCCAGATCATCGCCTGCATCTTCGATCATCTTCCCACTACAGCATGAGATGTCACTGATAAACGCATACCGAGCTGCAAACGTTTAAACAAAATATCCTTAATACGATCGGCAGTCCACGGTGTTCGATGCACGAACCTGTCAGAGTTTCCAAATCATCCTAGAAGGTTCGCTTGATCGTGCTGTGACTCGTGCAGGAGCGGCAGCAGACCCGCGCACCGCAGACTAAGGACACGGAGGACGTGACATACAGGCGAGTGCCGAAGGGCCGCTAAAGCGGTGCGTCTGCAGCGGGGCCCATAATGTTGTCGGCCGTGTCAATACTGGTTTTATACTGCTGTTCCAAATCGCTGTTGGTTATATATAATTTACCACAGACTAAATTTAAACTGACCGGCACAGCAAACGGCGCTTGACCGACCCTTGAAGGGACATACGTTTCAAAAGAGTGTTAACTCCGACCGACTGGTGTATACAGAATAAACGACTGAAGGAAAACCTCTTACCAAGTAAAAACTCGTCCAACATTTGACAGACTAAGTAATCGCGGCAGTCATCTCTGTTCAGAGAAGTTTTGCGAATATAAACAAGCAATCCTGACGTGATTTCCAACAATGACCAGGTTGCAACAGTCAAGGGCTGCCGTGCAAAACGACAATGAGTCAACGGTACGTGCCTGGTTACGTGAAGTTTGCAAACATTCACACTGCGACAGCACATGGCAAACACACAGGAGCCACCGACGATCGGCGCACGTTTCGTTAACTTCAGTGAAAACGCACAGTAAAACGAGTAGGTGACAGTTACCTGCAGCGGACCCGACACGGTAACAGATGTCCGGAGTAGGTGGGAGAGGTCCCGGGAGAAGACCCAGGGGAACAGGGAAGTCGGTAGGACATTTTGCAGCGCATGATTTAAGGATGTCCCAGTTCCAAAGCCTTGAACGCACACTGGAAACTGTACTGACGAGTATCGTCGCTGGAGGGTAACTCTAGCTGCGTTTCTTAATAAATACTGGCGAAGGGGCCGCCCCCGCGCTCGCGAACTAAGCACCGCCTCCTCCCGCACGCTCCACCCCCCACTCCGGATCGGAGAAGATCCATTTTCCCGTTCGTAGCCTGTGCATCGCAAATTTAACTTGACCCAGTTTTTCCTTTCATAATTAAAAACAATGAAATCCATCTCTACATGACACCGCTGGCGCTAAGATGTAAAGTGCTGGGTCTCTCAGCTCAGAAGGCACCGCGGACAATGCAAGTTGGACATGATCTGGAATTGGTTTCGAATACCACGATCACATTTCACAACGTTTTCAAGTGGTTTGAACTTGGGGGGAGAAAAACATCTGTGTTTCACCCTAAATAGCACTATGAAAGGTATTTAAAACATTGAGATGGAATTGGGTGACATTTCTGAAGAGTCTGAGCTGCAAGTGCTAGATTTTTAAAGTTATATAAAAATGTAGCACTTGCTACATCTGGATTCTTTCCCTTAATCACCCCCCTCCCCCCCCCACACCCATCCCTGCAAACTAATTGCTGTCTTTTTTTTACCAACAGCTCCGAAGGCAGCACATCTCAACACTTCCCAGTGTGAAACGGAAGAGCCACTCTCTCGCATGCGCACCGCCTTCAGCAGCCCAGGTAAATTCAGCCTCCATCGTAAGGAATCCAATTTATTTCTGGGGGAGGATGAGTGACAGCGACTTCCCCTGACTGAAAATTAAAACGAGACATTCCGTTCTCGGGACATTTCACGTACACATCCGGCTCCAAGCAGATCACAATCGACCCCCTGGCTCAGCCTCTGTGGAATGTGTGATGAAACACCAGTGCCGTCTGCATGTCACGTATTTACAATACCGCCCCCCCCCTCCCCAAATCCAGCTGCTGATGGGGACTGAAAACAATGGAAAGGTGGGTCTGGGGCAGAGATCTGATCCACTGGGACAACAGAGAGGGCAGAGGGGCTGTGGGTTCATGGACCTCCGGGTATGGGGTGTTACATAAGCACCCTGCAACGTTACACTCCTCGTTCAAAGGGGAGGGGCAGTGCGCAGGACCAATCATAAAGCAAGATGCCGCCAGACCTGCCCAATGACACGCCAGCCACCGCCTTCCCGAGCACATGCTGCCGAACACTGGTCAAATGTGTTCTCGATTATGGCCGACAGCACAAGTACACGAGTCCCCCACAACAGCGCTCCAGAGAGCAGCAGAGCCTTCTTGGGGGGTGGGGGCTTTCAAAACACACTAAAACACCTAAGCAAAAGGAGCGTCTCAAAAAAAGGGCACCAACAGGGGTGAGGGGAACTTAATCATTGTCAATGGAAAAGACGGCATTTGCCAGGTCTTATTTGCACAGTGGGGGTGGGTCGAGGCCTTTTCATTTCAGTGCCCAAGATGAGAAATACTGCACTGAAAAGAAAATCCAATTTAACAAAAACACTTTAACAAGACAAATTACTGAATCAAATGGCACCATTACATGCAAAACACTTTCACAACCAACCTGAAAGTAAACTATAGCAGGCCAACAAGAATGATTACAAATTACATGGTTACTGTGTACATGTGACCCAGTAATATTTAACATTTTAAATGAAGGTATACACGAATTCAGCCATATTCAACAGCAGGGGAGAGGACAGGGCTGTAGCAATAAAAAATAAAAGAAAAGAAAAGAAAAAAAGGTTGTAGGAGGTGCAAGAAAACTTGTGTGCAACATTCATGGATTCCTGAACCAAGTGTCTCATGTTAGAAATGCTAATTAAGACGACCATGGATTTGTGATGCATGTTGAACTGTTTTCTGGAATGGACAACTAATCGTGTCAGGTATGAGGTATCAGACATAAGGCTCTTTAAAGCTTAGTTCTCGTGAAAGTATTCCAAAGACTCAGCAAATAACTCCGGAAATCTGACCGAAATCAGAGTGGCATTAGAGAACAAACTGTTGGATTCACTTATACGTCGCAAAAACAGAGCGATACTAATTTCACGCTGCAAACCAGAAAGTCATATTGCACCCATCTGGGCAGAGATAAGTTATGTACCCGTAGGGCAGGGAAACAAAAGCCTGTTTATTAGAAATAAAATCAGCATCTTCATAAACCCTGATGAAAATGAGGAGCATTAAAGCTTATAACAGACAGCGCTGTGAGTGTTGGGCAAATGGTCAGAATGGACGGTTTTAAACATGAAAAACCTTCTTCGGAGGACGTGCAGATGTCCACATTTCTCACCCAGATGCTGTACCAGAGAACACCCTCCCCCCTTCAGACCCAAGAGGGCCCTATTTACCCTAATGGCCTTTAATTAGAAAAGTTGGGTTTTCCGCCATCGACGGGGCAGACTAGTGTGGACACAAGCTCACTTCAGGGGAGAAAATAGAAGGAATGGGGGAGGGGGGGGGGTAAATCACAGGTTCAGAATGGAGTTGGTGAAGGAGGTCTTCGGCTGGCATGAGTATTTGAGGGAAGGCATAGTGAAGTTGAACCCAGCATATCCAAGAGCAGCTCATCATGGATGCCTGTCCACGGTTATTAGGGGAGTTTCTCAGGTCATCACAGAAGGGCCCCCAGTTTGGCATCGGGGGGGGGGGGGGGGTATGGCCCGAGGACACTGCAGTTCAGAAATGCAGTGGGATGTACTCAGGGGCCAGAGCCAGGTGCTGCATGTCACCTGAGCCTCAAACTGCATTACCCAAGTCAAACTGACCAATGGGTTGTCCAAGCACTCGCATGTTTATTCATCACACTGGTGTTTTTATTCCGTATTTAAAACCAACAAGCAAAGGAGGTAGGATCGGAAAGTTCACATCTTGAGAAGGTTACACTGAAGAGTCTATGTTCTGTACCTCTAGAAGAACAAGAAGGGGTTGTTTTTTAAAAAGAAAAAATAAAAAGGACTGACTGGGAAGACCTATCCTGAGGCTCCAGGTCGCCTGGCGTGAGCTTTGGGATTCATGTGGGGGTGCTGAGAAGGGCAGCCCCCACGACCTGGATCATTTCAGGGAAAGACCTGCAGGCAGAAGCCCAGCGCCTTCGTTTACCGGACAGATCCGTGTGCCCACTGATTAATGCCCCGCGTGGTTACATGACGAAGCAAGCATTCAGCCTGTAAACTCGAGGTCAGTCAGTCTGGCTCTCGAATGATGACCCCCCACCCCACATGAAGATTTGCCAAAGGCTGGGGGGCCATATGCTAAAAGGTGGTACTGACTAGGCAGAGGGACACATAGCAGAGACATCATTCTGCACTCTGAAGGACAAACGGACTGAGCTTTTGACTGTGAGGAAATGGAGGTGAGGGGCATGAGGCGGGCCGAGGGGTCCGATATCTGCAGCAGGTGAAAGCGAGTGGGGTTAGCACCAAAAGGAAAGAGCGAGTGCTCCTGT